TCTCGTCTGCTTTTCTCCAGATTCTATAGCCGCCACGCCGGTGGTTGAGTACAACAGACGTCTCGTCTGTCCAGATGACATTCTTCCAGTCTTCTAATGTCCAGTCCTTATGATCAAGCGCCCACTTAAGACGAGCACTCCTCATCTCCTGTGTCAGTCCAGGCTTCCTCGTCGGCTTGGTCTTTCTGTATCCTGCTTCTCTTAATACTCTCCAGACTGTAGTGCGTGATATATTGACTCCTTGAAGACTGAGAGCACCAGCAACGTCAGCGCAGCTCTTCTCTCGTCCGTATCTATCACGTCGTACTTGTTGGATTATCTGCTCCTTTACCTTATCCGTCTGCTTTGAAGGTCGGCCAGAGCGAGGGGCGTCTTGTACGTGCTCTGGGAGGATCTTAAGAGGGAGAACGTTTGGCTCGAAACCAGCCTCAATAGCTCTACTATAGATACGATTGACCGTACGAGGATGAACACCAGTAAGTTCAGAGATCTGTGATGTAGACTTGCCAACAGAAGGTGACTTTAACGCCACAATTAAGGTGCGGGTGTAAGGATCAGTATTAGGAGACATTGTAACGATAGATACAGACAAATCGTACAGCTACTCAGCTCAAAGGTGGGAGTTGCGCCAAGAAGAGTTATGCCGAAGCGCCGAGATTAGCGTGGGACAAAACTTTTGTGAGGCACCTCCGTACAGTCAAAGCGTATTGATAATGTGAGACAATGATGGCTAGCCGAGCTGGACATGTCTCACATTACGGCGGGACAACGGGCTGCCTGTGATTGGGTTGGAGGCTGCAGCGCGGCAGGAGGGAAGGCGTGCCGTCCCGCGCTCGACTTAGACTTAGGCGGTGGGGGGATGATGACGCTGCGCGTATCGAGAAGCGCCGAATTGCGGGATGCAGGATGCGGGATGCGGGGGGAAGCATATCCGTGTGGTGTGTATGTAGGTGCCAGAGCCAGCGGGAGTTGGCATGTGTATTATCACTGTGGATCCCGTACCTGATCGCATCGATGTACCAAGGAACCGCCGACTCAATGCTGCAAAGTTGGACTGACAGATATACTCCGTGAAATGATGATTGCCATTCATTATCGCATTAACACAAAAAAGGTCTAAGGTGGATTGGGAAACGGGACGTTATCGTTTAGCTCGTTTCCCTTAATCACCGCGTTTTACACACACACACATAGTCCACGAGGCTCCAAACCTCAGGTATGCTGCTGCTTCGGCGCGAGCCGGAAATAGGGTATACCATGTCTTCCCCCCGATACACAATTGTTCTTAGTTCACAGTTCGTAGATCCGTAATGAACTCCCAAAAACGCCCCCAAAATGACTGGACCGAAAAGAAGGAGAGAAGAGGAGAGAAGAGAAGAGATGTGGCTTTGGGGGACGGCTACAACTTGGAAAGCAGCACGGTCAGGCAGCCGCTGCCGGCCTTTGCGGCCTCCCTTGGAAAGGTACCGCTTTTGCGGATGCTCTTCTTCAGCTTGCTATGCGACTGATACTGGACAATCTTGATCTTGGGGTTGCGCTTGTTGTCCAATACACTGTAGATGTTAATCTTCAAGGGCTTGAGCGCCTGGGCACTGTTAGCAGCTTGCACCTCCTCGCAACATACTAATCTCTGGAAAAACTCACCTTCTTGTACTGCGTAACCGTGTTGGACATGGCGCCAAGATCCAAGTCTCGGCAAAGGTCCTGACAGTGATACAGCTTATCTTCGTCCGCGTGCCAGAAGAAGGCAACTTCTGAGCTGAGCAAGGTAACAAACTGTCGCTGCTTTTCGCTATCACCCCAGCCCTTTGTCTGAGCCAGGCGCTCAAACTCGGATTTGAAGGGAGCAGTTGGCGAGTGCTTGAAGCCGATGAATTGGTCCCAAGCCGGATTGCTGCCTTTTTTGTCCGTGGAGCCGCTGAGCGAAAGCTTCCCCACCATCTGGGTCATTTCCTCGCATCCTGCCGATCCGGGACCCGCTGCCGGCTTCTGCTGAGCCACAGTATTATGTGAGTCTGTGCTTGCTGCAGAGCGGGGTGCAAGCTGGACGTTATTTTTGCTGTCAAGGGATATCTGGCTGTCGAATGATTTGACGCTGTCGAAGGAGTTGGCCCTTGAAATGCGCGAAATGACAGAGAACGACGAGGCATCAGAGGTGATTGAGAGACGCCGCATCCGAGCGCTGAGACATACTCCGCCTTCTTCCGACGTGGTAGTGTTTTCTGCAGTCGCTGGTCGATCTGCGGGGTTGGTCAGGAATGATGCCTATTAGTGAGGTGTCCGAAACGTACCATGTTGTCCATAGGGGTACGCCTCTCCAAAGCACTCCTTCCAGCGCGAACACCACGCCGCATCACCGCCAACCCATCCCTTTGCCTGGGCCAGGCGCGCAAACTCTGCTTTTGGTGAGCTGGCCGTGTCAACGACGTGGCCGATATCACTCGCCCACGCCTGTAGCAGCGCGACCTGGGAGGCGGAAGCCATTCGCGCAACGTGGCTCTATGGGCGGAGCTGTGCTGGTTGATGGTGCAGCGTCAAGAGCCGGAGCGGTGGGGAGTAAGAGTGGTTGGAGAAAACAAAAGAGGGGTTAGAAAAGCAAAGCCAGCCGTAACGCGTTGATTAAATCATCCAAGGGCGCATGGGGAAACGTGGGGCCGGAGTAGTGACTAATGCGCGCTCACACGTGGCTACACCTCACCGTGCGACCCTGGTACTTGATTACTCTGAGCCATTTATCGAGCTGATGTGCCCGCAAATGTACTTGTATCCATGTGAGCTCTGGCCTAACTACACCAGTGCCTTTCCCACGTACAGCAGAGCTCTATCGGCTGCCCATATCATCGGTATTTCGATGGGCCAAGTAAACCGAGAGGTGTCAGCCGCATACGTCTGTGTCCCGAATCCGGTTAGCGGCATGAGGTGGAACTAGGATACATTCACGCCAAGTGATAAAGCTAGTACACACGGGTGAAATGTATTTTTCTGTGTACGGCTAAATTATAATCATGGAACGCTAATACTGGTCCATGGGGCTATCTTCGGCATTGCCGTTCTGACTCGGTACGCAAATGTTGTAGGGTATAAGCTATCCGCGCCGGACCGAGGTGAAGCACCACCTCGGCCATAAGCCGCTAAACCCAACATGTACGCCTTCAGTTATCTATCCAAAACAAAGGAGAAAGTTGCACGTGAAGTGTCTACCAGCTTAACCAGATTTCCTGGCTGGCTTCCTCCTGGGCCGCACAGATTTCCGGGTGCGGTCATGTGCACCCTTCTTGCTATTGACAACATCCATGTTCTCTTCTTTCGCAGCTGTTGCAAGCTCCGAGTGATCGTCAAGCTGTACAGCCTCAAGAGCTTTGCGCCGATTGGCCGCTGCGCGAGTTCGCCCACGCGTGTCTACCAGCGCATCCTGTTTTCGAGTGATTTTGGCCGCGTTTACGAATTTGGGATGAGCCTGCTGAACATTCTCATCCCTCACTTCTTTGTTCTCGGCGTCATTGATATCTTGTTCCTCTCTTTCATCAACCTTTTCGTCGGCTTCGGCATCCATCATCTCGGCATCTTCGTTGGCCGTCGTTTCGCCTGTACCGCCATTACCTGCATCTTCGTAGATTTCAAATCTGACTCGAGCAGAATCCAGGGCCATGGCCCTCATATCAGCCTCCTCACAAAGGTGCTCCAATGTGCTTGGAAGAGGAATGATTGGGAAGCCGTCCGGTTGCCGGAGTTGAAGCTCATTTTTCTCGTACTGGGCCTTGAACATACTAAAGTCCCTTTTGCGGTTGCGGAACTCGGCCATTTGCATCTCGCTACTGGTGTAAGAGTTTTGCATACCAAGACGATCGAGTCTAAGCTTACTTGTCTGGGATCCGACCGCTAGAGGGAAATGTAGAATCAGAAAGCACAGTACACGAGTCGATTCGAGATTCTTTCTGCGACACCTGCGACACCTGCGGATTACCAGACATCGTTCAGGGCTCCGCTGTTGGAGTTGCTGTGCTGTTTGGTTGATGGACGGTGTCTTTCCGTCAATCTTGTGCGTTTGTGAAGTGGGAACGGCGTATTCGCGTCATGTGTGGTGCGCAGAAACGTGCTTGTGGGAGCCTAGGTTAGACTGTTGAGGTGAAAGTGAAGGTGAAGCTCGCGCCACCTGCCAACCGTGGAACGGAGCAGAGATTCAATGAGTGTTTCAGTCGCGGATAGGAATGTTGGTATGATTTGCCAGGTGCAAACCCCTGTGCTCCCAGTCCTGGTCGTTAAGGTTCGACAAGCAACCAATCCTTGGCATGGAAACTTCGTACGGATAACGGCCAATACAGCGATGGCGGCAGCAAGCGAGGAGCGCACACAAAATCTGCCGCCAGAAGATCGATAAATGGTATAGCGCTCGGAGCGATGGTTGGTTGCGCCGTATAGTCTTGTCGTTGGATGTGTTCGCTCCCTAATCAAAGGAAAAGGCCTTGCCTCGGCGGGTTTTGTCGGAGGAAAGCTCTTTGGGCCTCGTAGATAGCAGTCGCAATGCGCTCGACCTGACACCTTGTATGCGACCGTGTATCATGGCGCAAGGTGCTTGCGACAATGGGACCTGACGTTGCATTTGGGTAGAAGAGGTGTATCTGCGACACCTGTATCCTGTCCTGATGACGCATCTAGCGCGCAGATCATGCCTGTATCCGGTAAAGCTTATGACGATCAAATATGAGGTACCAACCACCGACTATCAAGAGCAAGACATGCAGATAAATCACAGAATCGTCTTCCAAGTTAGCTGCACCTTCTCGAATTGCATTATGCTATCTATCCATTCTATAACCATGATGCATTCGAGCAACAATCCAGCACTTGGCCGTGCCGACTATATAACAATACCTCTGCGCTGCAGAGGGTCCATTTTCCATGTTCCTATTGTTCAACCATAGGCCTCTAACCAGACCTAGGCACTGAATGTGTTCGACCTCTTCTTCATGCCTCTAGCCTTTTGGCTGACCGAGGCAGTTGAAGCACCAGAGGAAGCACCGGAACTTGCATCAGAAGCGCCACCCGCTCCAGAACCCGCCGCGGCGCCGCCAGATCCACCAGAAGAGCCACCTGCACTAGCCGGGGCCCCAGAACTGGCACTTGAGTCGGAAGAACCACCTGAACCAGCTACGGCACCGGCTCCGGCACCAGCTCCCGCACCGGCACCGGCTCCAGCTCCCGCATCTGGACCTACATCTTTGTCAGCGAGGTCCTATCAGCTTGAATAGCCGTCTTGGTTTCTGAAAGAGGGTACATACCGTTGGCCTTGCCCTTACCCTTTCCTTTGCCTTTGCCTTTGCCACCGGCCGGTGCTGTGCCATCTGGGCTTGTTAGTATCTAAGCTGGTCATTAAACAAGATTCCACTTACTTCCGGCTGGAGGAGGTGGAGGAGCTGGAGCTCCCGCTGGGGGTGCTGGGGGAGCAGCACCACCTGCTGGAGGGGCTGGGGGAGCAGCACCACCTGCTGGGGGAGGAGGGGGAGCAGCACCTCCGGCAGGGGGAGCAGGGGGAGCAGCACCTCCCGCTGGAGGAGCAGGGGGAGCGGCGGCACCAGATGATCCAGAAGACCCAGAGGAGCCAGAGGAATCAGAGGAACCAGAGGAACCAGAGGAACCCGATGAGCCAGATGAGGCAGAGGAATCAGCGGAGCCAGATGAGGCAGAGGAATCAGCGGAGCCAGATGAGGCAGAGGAGCCAGAGGAGCCAGAGGAGTCGGCTCCGCTTTGTTGCTCAGAAACCGCCGCTGCCTTGACTCCCTTTTGCTGGCCTGCTGATGCCATAGCTCCCTTTTGTTGATCTGCTGTTGCTGCTGCTGCTGCTGCTGGGGCAGCGGCGGCAGCGGCACCCTTTTGTTGGTCTGCCGATGCGGCGGCACCGTTTTGCTTGCCTGCGGCGGCACCCTTCTGTTGGTCGGCGGCGGCTACAGCGCAGCTGTTTTGTTGCGCAGCGGCCTGTGGATCTGCTGCTGCTGCTGCTCCCGCAGCCCCCTTTTGCTTGCCTTTGTTGCCTTTGCCAGTTTGCTGCATCTGGCCTGCTGACATAGTGGCATTTTTTCCTTGGGTCGCTCCCATTTTCCCCTTGTGTTTCTTGCCTTTGCCTTTGCCGGCTTGCTGGCCGGCTGGCATGGTGGCATTCTTTCCCTGGGCCGCTTGCAATTGAGCCGCAGCTGCCTTTTCTTTCTTCTTTGCCGCCTGTTTAGCCTTCTTTGCCGTCGCATCAGCCTTCTTCTTTGCATCCTGTTCCTTTTTGGCAGCTTGGGCGGCCTATGCACATTAGTCCAAGATCAAGTAATGATGAGAATGCAGCATACCGCATCTTGCGCGCCGGCGGCTGGAGCAGCAGCGGCTGGAGCAGCAGCAGCAGGAGCAGCAGCAGCTGGAGAAGCAGCAGCTGGAGCAGCGGCGGCCGGAGCAGCGGCGGCCGGAGAAGCAGCAGCAGGAGCAGCGGCGGCGGCAGGATCCTGTGCTGCTGCTTGGGCACCGGCATTGGCATTGTCTTTGCCCATGGCACCACGTGGGTCCAAGAGGGCGCCGCGGAGCTTCAGAGCCTGTTCGCCAAAGTTGGGCACAGCGACATTTTCAGTGTGAGCAACAATGTTGGAACCGGCGAAAGGAGCTGGAACGGCAGCGACGAAGGATGCCGAAAGGATCGCGAGGAGGGGGATGGGATTCTTCATAATGACTGTATTCAGTTAATGCGAAAGGATTGAAACGAGATGTGTCGAAACGGAATATGAGCACAGCTCTTGGATCTGAAAAGAAGTGATAGTGCTCTGCACCAATGAAGAAGATGAAGGATTGGAAGGAAGGGTGCCGTATTGGGTGTTCGGACAGATGGGGTTATATAGATATTGTGCGTGGATTGAAGCAGTGCTCAGGATAGAACAAGCCGTCTCTTCTGAAATGGGCGTTCATCGGGTGCCGAGCATGTCATACACGCGCCGTTGGAGGATGCCTAGCAAGTTCCAGGCTTCAATTACAGTAGGGCGATCAACCCCATAATTCTCTCACAGGTACAGAAGCTTAGCCTCCAATGGCAAGAGCGGATGCGGGTCTGGCATGGGGCCAGAGCGGCATCTTGGCTGTAAACGGTCGAATCAAACGCATGAAGGACAAGACAAGAGTACGGGCGAGAAGCTTGGCATCCGCTTCATGCTGGGGTGCAGTCGTCGTCATGGGAGAGCTCCGCATGTGAGGTCGAACGTGGGTGGTTTGAGAGCTTGTTGCAGACGCAGCAAGGACGGCACGCGCGGGAAAGTGTTGTCCCAAACGCATAAGTTTGGTACGGCTGCATGACTGAGGTCGCAGCCATGCGGTAGGCATGAACCGGAGCCAGTTTCAGAGGGACCGAAATGCGTCCGCCGCGGCTGCGAAGCTTTCAGTCAACACATGATAGACAGTCCTGACGGCCGCCACAAGGCTTCAGAGTGGAGTGTCTTGGCCCTTGTCAAACCTGCCGGGTGCTTTGCGCGCTATACTGGCGCATTGAGTGGAAAGAAGTCGGGCATTGTGTCCATGGTCGAAAAGGGTGTACGCGATACATCTTGGCGATGATTCAAACGATCGCTCCACCTGCGCTGGTAACATCTATAGTGGTGGAGCCATCGGAGAACATTTGGGAGGGAGCGGGTCGTTTGTATATACGGGCAGGGTGTGGTATATGCCAAAGTCGACGGCTGCAGCGGCCGCCGCCGCATTCGAGGCGCTAGCCGGCCTGGCGTCGCAGCCTCATTGACACGGCGTCTGTGACTCAGGGATCTCGTTGATTGATTGCATGTGGCGTCTATACGTGTGGACAGCGAGGGCAGGACGGCCAAAGGTGCGTCGCATGTCGTTGGAAAGCTATTTTTGTTTTGCTGGGGGCGGAGGGCGGAGGGCGGAACAAGGGCGAGGGGAACAAGGGAGAGAGGAACAAGGGAGAGGGGAACAAGGGCGAACGCGTCGGCCAATGGCACGCGCGGCATTGCAATCCCGCAGCTAGCCTCTCTAGCCTCGGTTGCCCGACGTTTGGATATCGTCATCTCGAGCCTCTGGTCGCCAAGGGCGCGCCGTTTCCGAGGCATTGCTCCCGTCGCACTCGCACTCGTGCTTGTCGAGTGCTGCCAAACCGACCCTACGGCGTGTAGCTAGCCGCACATTCCATCGAGACCCGCGAATCCCGTCCGTGTTTTCGCCCACGCAGTCTCCAATATCGACATGTCCATCAATGCCACCATGGCCACCAGGACAATCCCCGCGTCCGTAACACGGCGCCTGCTCACGACGCCGCCATGCACGCGCCTGGCAGCCCGGCCATTTGTGCGTGCGCCATTGCGGCTGCGAGGCGTTTCAGAATGCCCCCGTCCAGCCGCCCGGATTGCTGGCCAGAGAAGAAACCTCTCCACAACGCCTCGCACACGGCTCGCTGCCGTAGACGACACATTCGACCCGAAATCCATAGAGCGAGAGACTGACGAGGTGGATGTGCTGATTGTGGGCGCCGGCCCGGCCGGTTTGTCGGCTGCCATCAAGCTGAAGCAGCTGGCAACCGCAGCTGGCAACGAAGACTTCAGGGTCTTGGTACTGGAAAAGGCGGGCGAAGTGGGAGACCACATTGTTTCGGGGAATGTCATCGAGCCCACTGCACTCGACGAGCTGCTGCCCGACTGGAGGTCTGAAGACAACCTGAACCGCTTTGCCGACATTACGCCCGCCAAAGAGGACCACATGTACTTCATGACCAAGGACCGCGCAATACCCCTCCCAAAGCCCCCGCAGATGAACAACCACGGCAACTTCATCATAAGCTTGAACCAGATGGTCAAGTGGCTTGGCGAACGCGCCGAGGAAGCTGGCGTAGAAGTTTATCCTGGATTTGCGGCGTCCGAAATACTGTACAATCATGAGGGCGTTGTACAGGGCGTAGCCACCAATGATCTCGGCATCTCACGCGAGGGAACGCCAAAGGACTCGTTTGAGCGAGGAATGGAGTTTCACGCCCGCGTCACATTGCTTAGTGAAGGCTGTCACGGCAGCCTGACAAAGCAAGTCATCAAGAAATACGACCTGAGGCGTGACAGCCAGCACCAAACGTATGGCCTTGGCATCAAAGAGGTCTGGGAGATCCAACCTGAAAAGTTCAAGTCCGGGCTCGTGGTGCATTCCATGGGCTACCCGCTTCCCAAAGATACTTATGGCGGTGCCTGGATGTACCATTTTGGTGACAATTTGGTCAGCATCGGCTTGGTGGTTGGCCTAGACTACCCGAATCCGTGGTTGGCGCCGTATGGCGAGTTTCAAAAGATGAAACACCATCCATACTACCAGAACATCTTGGAGGGTGGCAAGTGCATCTCCTACGGCGCAAGGACCCTGGTTGAAGGCGGTTTCCAGTCCATTCCTAAACTGGCCTTCCCTGGTGGTGCCCTCCTTGGAGATGCGGCAGGGCTGCTCAATCTTCCCAAAATCAAGGGCACCCACAATGCCATGAGATCAGGAATGCTGGCCGCGGAGGCGACTTGGGACGCTCTTCAAGCCAACGCAGACGGTGGTACCGTCTTCTTGTACGACTACGAAGACAAGATGCGCAAGTCGTCCATCTGGTCAGAGTTGAAGACAGTCCGCAACATGAGACCGTCTTTCCATTCTCCTTTGGGCGTGTACGGAGGCATCCTGTACTCGGGACTAGAGGCATATGTCCTCCGAGGCAAAGCACCTTGGACATTGAAGCATGGCAAGCCGGACCACGCAGCGACAAGGCCTGCCGACGAGTGCCAGAAGATCGAATACCCCAAGCCTGATGGCAAGATAAGCTTTGACATATTGACGAGCGTCAGCCGTAGCGGTACAAACCATGAAGAAGACCAGCCCTGCCACCTCCAGGTAAAGGACCTTGACGCGCATGCCCAGAGGGAGTGGCCCAAGTACAAGGGTGTCGAGAACCGTTTCTGTCCCGCAGGCGTCTACGAATACGTCGAGGATAGCAGCAAAGATTTGGGCGTCCGATTCCAAATTAACGCTCAAAAGTAAGTATAGCAATCGCCGCCCTAACCGAGTTCATTCCAGCTAACCGTGACTAGCTGTGTCCACTGCAAAACATGCGATATCAAAGTGCCGGATCAGGACATCAACTGGCAGACACCCCAAGGCGGAGAAGGACCGAAGTACGTCCTGACTTAGACATGGGCGTCATGTGTCAAGACTGTACCTATACAGCTTGGGCAGCTCCGTCAGCGGGGTACATCGCAAGCAGACGTGTACATTAGTAGGGATCACATGTATCTGTATGAGGGGTCAGCCCAATTGTTGTTGCTGCCCAAGTGGTCTGCCGGCAGTAACACAGGCATATGAATGAAGACATGTTGTCTGCCAAACATTGGTTATCAGTGGATAACTCGTTTGGACGCGTATCAAGTAAAGTCTCCCAAGCGTATTATAGCGCACGTATTTGAACAGCGTCGCTTTTCACTCGTAGCCTCGGCAGGGCATCCACAAGTCTGAGGGAGCACGAGGCACGTGATGGCGTCCGTGCTCTAGCTTAGCCCAGTGAGGCATTGGGCGAACTTCGTCTCCGCGCCCTTCGTCACTTTCCACTCAACACCACCGCCGGGGCCTCTCGCATCAATACCAACTCGGCCCTCATCTCTCCTTACAACCCACTACTGCGATACTGGGCGTACTAATCTTTCACCCCTAGACCCAAGTGTGCGACAGCTGCACTCAGCCGCCGGTTCCCCCAGGCCCTCGAGCTCTCAGGTTCTTCACGGCCACCCTGTGTCCAGCGCCCCAATCTATCTCCAAGGTACGACTAGTCGCCTGTATTGTATTCTCTGGCCGTTCCTTGCGCATCTATCTGGGTCCTGTCGTTGCGCGCATAGCCGGATGCTGGTTTCCTCGTGTCGCGTCTTTGAAATGGAGTCTACCGGTGTCTGGCAGGCAATGCGCATTCCTTCGCTGGCTTCCTGTTTACTCGTGGACATGTGCTCACCTTTTTATCCAGACTAGGTCATCCTCAGGCTAGGGCGTTACCCACAACCACCTTGACCATGACCGAGGTATCCTCTACGCGCCTGTATCTAGGCAACCTCCCTCGCAATGCCACCAAGGCAGACGTCGAGGGCCACTTCCAGACACACGGCACTGGCGAAATCACCGAGATCAAGTTGATGAACGGCTTCGGGTTCATCGAGTACAAGGATGCCATGGACGCTCGTGACGTCGTTCCTGGTGAGTCTCAGCCACCGGCTGGCAAAGTGAACACACGCTAATCTCTGTGCAGCTTTCCGTATGTAGCCCACCGCATTCGATCCCTGGCAACACTCTCCTAACATGTCGCAAGATGGTTCCGACTTCATGGGCGAGCGCCTCATTGTCCAGTTCGCTCGCGGCTCGCGCGCCCGCAACGAGAACTTTACTCCCCACGAGCGCGTCCCTCCGCGTCCTAGGCGTACGCCATACCGGATGAGAATTGCAAATCTTCCGGTGGAGACCAGCTGGCAGGTCAGACTCCCCGATCATTGGATTTCCCCAGTTCCCTAGTAGGGTCAGCGTACCGTTCCCGGACCAGTAATGGCTTTATTCTCGCGTGCTTCCCGTTACACTTTCTGGATTTGGACCTCGCTTAACATCGCATGTATAGGACCTGAAAGACTTTGCCCGTCAATCTGGATTGGACGTCGTCTACTCTGAAGTTGGACGTGAGCGCGACGGCACTGGGTGAGTGCGCCCTGGCAGATGCCTCGCACGCGCATGCTAACAAAGTCAAGATTCGTCGAATACGAGACTGCCGCCGATCTGAAGACCGCAGTAGAGAAACTGGACCGCCGTGAGTTCAAGGGGCAGGAAGTCACCTGCATCCAAGATGTTTCTGATCCTCCCCCACCTCCACCTTTTAAGCCTAGGGCTCCTTACGGAGGCCCTGGTGGTCCCGATGACCGGGGCCGAGACAGATACCGATCGCGCTCTCCCATGGGCCGCCGCGGCTACCCACCTGCGCCGTACGACGACTACTACGACCGTCGCGGACCCCCTCGAGGCTACAGCCCTCGCCGCGACGACTACCGCCGACGCACACCACCGCGCGAGTTCTATGACAGGCGTGATGGCGGATATGGACGTTCGCCGCCTCGTGGTCGCATGCCTGATGAGTATGGCCCACCGCGCGCGCGTTACCCTGACGATCCTTATGATGCTAGGGCCGGACCTCCACCTCGTCGCTACGACGACCCTTATATGAACGGCCATGGGCGCCCTTACGATGGAGGACGACCACCCTCGCCACGTGGTGCTCGTCCCCGTAGCCCCGGAGGCCGCCCACCCTATGACGCCCCACCGGCCGATTATCCACCGCGTGGTCGTTACTAGAGCGGATGGTATCTGGGGCGTTGACAGGCAACGTATGTCGAAGAAGCCAGGTTACGCTTTGGCGTCTTGTTCGGGCGCATCTACTGACGCCGACTCGGTAGGCCTTTGTGGTGCCTGGACTCTCTTTTCTTTCATCTATATTGACAATCCGAGGCTTCTACCTGTGGATATGGATTATGCGATAATGGAGCCTGAGGATATCCGGAGGCTTGACTGTGCTACATGAGCCCTACGAGACTGATTATGTATTTCCCCGTACTCCTGGCCTTGGACTTTTCATGTATCTCTTCTGTTTGGCGCGGCATTTTCCTTGTGCGGCTATCTGGCACGAGAGGTTCAGTCCCTTTCGAGATGGCCTTCCCACTGTCACCGTATCTATATGGAGAGGATGCCCTGATTTCTGTACCATTGAGAAAACCGTTTGAGCACATGTGGACGTCCTTTTGATCTGAATCTGTACGGCCTTGACCATGTCCAGTATCCGCGGCCTTGATTGCAGACCCACCGTTGCAGGGAAATGAAAAATTGGTTTCTGATTCGATATTGGTGTTTGCCTTTGTTCCGTGTCGCCAAGGCAAAGTTCAACTGAGATTGCTTCCACCTGGACCTGGAAAGGAGAAGAAGAGAGAGAGGGGAGAGAAGAATATGTCCAGTTCCAGGAACAGCAAGAGATGACAAGACGATCCGCATACTTTTTTCTATTCTACCTGCGTTCCGCATACATTCTTACATCAACCGATCCATCGATGCTCTGACAATAACTACACTGGCGCACCGCTTCTCGTTGCGCTTCACATGGCGACACAGATTGCCAGCATCGCAGCATACCTTGCTTCTCGTCCTCCATCCTCGCATCGCCACAACATACTAGACACGTTTCCAGCTGCTGAACACAACAACAACAACACGCCTGGACGCAAGATGAACAAGCGCTGAAACAGCACGCTTGATACGACATGGGCGCAGGACATACCACCATCCCATTTCGAACTCGAGACTCGCACAATGCCAAAGGCGCATGTACACGCTGCGTCGACATGGGTTTTACACATGGGTTTTGCACCGCATGCGTTACTTCATGCGCAGATATACTCGAGGGCTGTGGGTGTCGCGGTAGGCGCTCGTCGGGATGCAGGGTTGTGTAGCGCGGTGGTAAGGGACGAGGTGCTGGCATCGAGGTGCCTGGTGAAGCTGCTGCTGCTGCTGCTGCTGCGGATCGAGCTACTGCGCATGATGTAATAAGCGCTGGTGTGTAGAGTGAACGTGTATGCTTGGCTTGATGGGTGTCCTTATTATTGTCCTTGTTGTGTTTGAGTCTGGACGAGAAGAAGTGTTTTGCATGTTGAATAACCATTGGGCAAAAGTTTTAGTTTACCCTTTTTTTTAAAAAAAAAGGGGGTAGTGAGCAGGGTATGTGTGGTACGTGAAACGGAGGGTCTCAGGTCGCTGTCGCCGTGGGCTGTGGAGTGGAGTGGATGTTTGGCCTGGCCTTATCGTTTGCCCAAAGAGTATTGTAGTATGTAGTGGTAATGTAAGTAGTGAGCGACAATATCATGTATAATATCTGATCAAGAAACTAGTCAATATCCCCTCCCCCCCCCCCCTTGTCTTACAATCATCCATCTATCTTGCAGAACAGACTCATAACGTCAACATCTTACCACGAACCAATATTCCCGGTAAAGTAAGTAACTCCCCAAAACAAGTAAAATACAACAATACTCGTAATTATATGCATACCATGTCAAAACACAAGGGATGTAAAAGTCAACAAAGAAATTCTTGATTGGCGGGATACACTTTACACGCGTTGAGATGGATTGATTAGGTGGAGTTTGGGGGAAGTGAGGATTTGGGATGCGCGCGTACCATGGTTCTTGTGCATGGTATGACAAGGTTGGGATTTCAGGTATTTTAACGGTGGGGGAGGGGGGGGGTTGTGTACGTGGCAAGATGATTACATGAATGATGAACAAATAAAGATGTAGTAGTAAAGTATGCTTGTACGAGGTGTAGTTGTATGTGTTCAACGTAGCCTGGTTGGTATATATATTGAAGACTAACACTATAAACCACCTACAAAAACTCTGAATCATGCAATAGCACGAGCACTAGTCTGCCATGTATCCAAAACGAGCGTGAATCGTACATTCATATGCGTAAATATCTTTATGTCGCCTGCTTTCCCTCATAACCCGGTACGAACAAACATTAGTCAACCAAAACAATCATGGGGCGATTCATGCAAGTTAAAATTTTTTTTTGAGCAGCCCATGCGAACAGCTATACGTTTTATCCTCCAGCCCAGTAGTGCCTCAAGGTACCCCTCATAGCATGTCCCACTCGTTATCCGAAGAATAATCGGTGCCGGTCGCAGCCAAGATATCGACGACAGGGGTAGGAACAACCTCGGGGCTCGACATTGGGCTCTCGGGAGTAACAGGGGTATGCGACTTGGGTAATGTCACCATCATGAAGCCATATTCTTCGTCAGAAGATGGTGTCTCGAAATCCTCCATTGCATTGGGCTGTGGGGGTTTGGGTCGGTGGACGAGAGTAGTGGTGGAGGAGTCTGCCATTGCGATTGTATCCTCTGCCATGTGTGCTTTGTTCCCTGCAGCAGGAACAGCATCGGACATGGCCTCGTTATCTGAATCTTCTATGTGATCGATGTTGTCTCCGTTAAATACCTCTTGCAATTCGTCTTTTGAGGCAAGCGCTTGGGGGCGGACACAGGGTTGGACCTGTAGGGTGGTGAGGCACAGCCGTATAATATCAAATGCACCTGTTTCTGTTAGCCTAGTTTGTGCAGCCATGGATAAGACTTACATTCGTCTTCGAAGTTGCGCTCCATGTTCGTGCGACACAGGTCTTGCCGAAACTCTGGAATCCCTGCAGCAATGCAGATAAAGTCGGCATTCTCCCCGAGTTTGTGGTATATGAATTTGGAGACGCTATAGTTGAGGAGCGTGTCAATGAGGCCGTGTTGTCGGCGCGCCTGTTTGCTGGAATAGTGGCGGTATACGAATTGTATTGTTTCGACTAGGTCCGGTGGAGGGGCGGGTATGCAGCATGCAAAGTCGACCTGGCACGAGAAGTTGCCGTGCGCGAGGAGCTGCAGTTCGGGACTGTCAAAGTCCTCGGCCATCTTGTACATTTCGACATGAGGAAGAAGCAGATTGGGCCCGTAGTCTGCGTTAGGCGGGAGGTAGCTACCAGTGTAGCAGTAGCGAAGCAGCGAGACCAGCACAGTCTCGGATGGAGCCTCGATGCTGGCTTGAAGGCGACCATGGACGTCGTATTCGAATGCGTGGTATAACAATGGACATGTACTGAGAAACCTGAAGGGGCAGATACGGTCTGAAATCAGGCAGACATCACCGTCCGGAAGGGCGGCCTTGAGGATTGCATTGCCTTGAATGTGCTCGCCAGGCGTGTCTAGGAATGAGAGGTCGTCCATGTGGAATGAGCGTGATATCCAAGTGAGGAGGCGGTAGGCCAGAGGCCTGCAGTTACTTCAAAGGCTGTGAGTAAACTTGGAGATGGAGTTCTGACGGCTCAGCTGTTGACCAGGCTGTGCTGCAGCAGTGAGTGTAGAGCCCCTCGGCTTGCTGGGGTGAGCAAGTTGGAGACGTGCGATGCTTGGAGATGAGGTTGGAAAGAAAGCCAGGGCCCGAGGCGTGTCAGCTGTAGTGGCAGTCAGACAAGCATAGCCTCTGGGTCTAGACAAGCTTCAAGGACGAGTGACGAGGCTGGAGGACCAGGCAGCCGTTTGCACGTGCAAGGTGCCAAGCGCTCATTCCATTGGGGCCTGCCGGTGAAGAATCGGAGGCAGTTGAACGATGCGATTGAACAAGTCAGTAATAATGCAGCCTCGTGTACTCGGCACAGCCCATCGTGGGCGAGTGCAAGTGCGTGATGAGGGTGTCACGGTGGAGGGGCATGCGAGTCGCAAGTGCAGGCAGCCTGTCTGCTTGGAGGGGTCGGGCGTGGTGCAGCATGACGACAATGTGCTTATTGGCTCTGGGGGGGCCAAGGCCCAGCTGATGATCCGATGGTCGTGCAGCGGTGTCCTGGCCTTGGATTTAGGGCTGAGGGGGGCCGTCAGCTGCTTGTGGCGGAGGGCGTCGTTGGCTGGTGTTGAGGGGTCGGGGATGCGCAGGCACAGGCGTGGGTGGAGAGCTTCAGCCACGGCCCACCTCGGATCCACCCCAGTGGCGCGGCGCGGCGCCGTGCTCTGCTCATACTGTAGTCGTCCGTCCACCAACCAGGCTTTTATTGCCGTCCTTCTCTGCGACTAGCACGGGGGGCTGCTGACGGACAAGCCGCCTCTTTTTCAAGCGCAAGCAGCCCGGTTCTTCGCATCTCACAGTGCCCCGCTCTGTTCGTCTGGATTGGCGTCTACACGCTTCCGCCCCGGCCCCCGCCATGGGATTCCTCTCCATTCTGCCCGAGAGCCTCAAGGCGCTGGAGACGTGGATCACGCGCATCTTTGTGAGTTCCGTCGTTAGCACTCGCGCGCCATTCACCCTTCTCACCCGCCGCAGCTTTTCCTGGGCCTCTTGGCCATCGGCCCATGGGTCGCGCTGCTCATCTACGACATACTCTTATACCTCTTCCGCGCTTGCGTACACGAGATACCCGTCGTCGGCGGCCGTGCCCAGGGAAAGGACAGGCCACGCGCTCCCAGTCTGACGGAGCGGCCCAGCGGCCGTCGTCGCAAGTTCAGTCTCCGCGGCTTCGACCGGCCGGTGCTGAGTACGGGAGGCGCCAATGTAGACGCGCGCGATGCCCGGCACCGTCGCATAACAGAGGTGACGGTGGGCGACTCGTCGTGATGGTTTCGGTGGCGCAGAGGATGCAATTGGCACCTTTGCCCCCAACTGCTGTAGCGGCATTATACACAAGAGCTGGACCACAGGCGCTGGCTGTGCGAGTCGCGTGACGCCCTTGTGGAGGGACTGAGCATCTCCCGCGAAGACGCAAGGCACTCGACACGCTGAGACTGGATTGCGGAGCGCAGCGCAATCGTCTTTATCGTGTCTGGGAGCCGAGCTTGGACATAGGCATCGTGTGTATAGGCACTCATGCCTCTGCACATGGACCGTCATGCTGTGTCGCTCAGGGTATCAACAGGGGTAAGTGACTAGAGTTGAGACGCCGTCCAGGTAGGTGGCAAACCGCTGCTGCCCAGCAGCCTACATAGCAGAAAGCTGTCTTTGAGCATAATCATGCGCTCGCCCGCCGCTGTGCCTCGCTCATGGAAAGGAGTGTCTGGGGCGTAGATTGCCGCCAGTTTCAGGTGTCGGTTCGCACCAATGGCGTCTGGCCAAACACATGCAGGTTGCGCGTGTATCAGAACTGGCGATCCAAGTGATAAAGTAACTATGGAGGTGAGCTAAGCATGGCTTAGCGTCTTCTGGGGGCGTGCCTGCTCTCAATGAACCTTCTGCTCTCACTCCCGCCTTTCCGCCGCGTCGCAACAACAACCACCACCACCACCACCGCCACCACCAACATCATCCGCGCTCCCGGCCTCTTTCCATCTCTCTTGTTCCAATTCACGTCTGTCTTTAGATACAATCAACCCTTTGAACACCCCTCCATCACCATCGCACATTGCACAATGGCCGTCCCAGCCACGACTACCAAGACCGCGACGCCAAAGGCAGCAAACGCCGCTGGTGTCAAGAAGACCGGCCCCAAGGGCGGGCGCGTAGGCAAGAAGAACAACGCCAGAACAGCAATGGCCAAGATGCAAGCATACTGTAAGTCTGCGCTGTTTGACGCGTTTTGTCGCGTCACTTGGACGCGAAGCTCGCATGCCGCCCCACGAGAATGGCGTTCGTTTCCAGGGGATGAAGATCACTGACCATCGACACCAGTCAAGGCTCACCGCAGCGAGTACAAGGACCTGTCTTTCAAGGAGCAACAGCAAGAGCTGGGCAAGAAGGTACGTTGCATCGGTGGGGATATGTCCGACTGTGTCACGTATCCCGCGGCGAGGTTGACTTGGTTTGCTGACGTGTAATAGTGGAAAGTTTCGCCAGAGAACCCCAAGAACAGCGCCTGAAGGGACAAGGTCCTCGTCGCACTGTCGCTCTTTCTGACATGACCCCCGAGTCTACTTTTCTTTCTTCAGTCCTTTTGTTCGTGTGATTTGCTTGTCATCTTCGACAATGTGCTCTTGCAAATATACGGGAGACGAGCCGAGTTCGGGTCGGCAGGCGTTATGATTTAGTGTGCACGGTGTTACACTTACCGTACTTACACTTTAGCCAACGTGGGAAATATATTCAAACTAATTAATGTTCTGCAAGTGGGTGTTGCCTGCTTCATTTCTGCATATGTGATGTACTCGATGTTGAAATCAACAATGTTGGATCGCCTTTCCCAGCAGCTTAGCACTGCTCTAATGCATACATGTGTGCTCGAGCATAGTAGTCAGCGACGAGGGTCGCGACTGCCTAGCCGAGGGGGCTGAGCAGCCTTGTATGAGCGCCTTGGCACGACTGCCTCGTAACATCACCACGACTGCTCATTACTCTTCTTTCCCCATCCTTGGTTCACCAAAAACAGTCATACAACATGTCCGACTCGGCCACCACTCCAGATTGGCTCCAATACTCTGATCTAGTCGTCATTCACACGGGTCCTCACTACTCATCATCTCCCATACCTGAGAATGGCACAGTCTGCGCAGTGTGTGCCCGTTTATCGTATGAGCAAATGTCCACGCACCAAGGACAGCTCTATCATGATTCTTGGACCGCTCTAGTTGACAGTGCTGAGCAGGGTTGCCCTTTGTGTGTCTTCTTCGTAACTACACAACGAAGTAATGCATATGGCTCCAACCCGGATCCTCCAGAGCAATCCCGTCCCATATATTTGCGAATAGACAGAGCCCTTAGAACCGTCGCTTTGGATGTAATTGGACTGTCTAATGTTGATGTTCAGCGCTATGGCCTTGGTTTGGCAAGCGATATTGGTATGCATCATCTCTTATTGCTGAGAATTGCGATTTGCCAATGTCTCAGAGCTAACGGTGCCCAGACTTACATGCATCGGATATAGCAGACGAAATAAAATGGAGAATGCGCCTTGGCGACCGTGCCTCTGAAAAGGCCGTAGAGAAAGTGCAGTCATGGCTCAATGAGTGTGACAAAGCACACCCCCATTGTCGCAAAGTCGAAACATGTCCCCTACCTACCCGAGTTCTCGATATTTCTTGTGAGGGTTCTTGCTGGAACATACGCTTATTGAATAGCAATGGTCTTACCGCAGCATACACGGCTCTGAGTCATTGCTGGGGTAAGGAGGTGAATCTGGTCAATGGCCAGTAAGTTCTATGAATGGATAGAGCCTTTGGCTTTTGTAAATTCCCAACTACTGGGTTAGAACAATGCTAACCAAAACTACTAGAATATCTAAATGTACATCTGGAAATATCAATCAGTTGCTGCAGGGGTTTTCAATTGACGCTCTGCCCGCTTTGTATAGAGATGCAGTAATCATGACCCAGAAACTGGGGAAACGGTACGTGGTGGTATATGGAGTTTCTGCATGCTTTGATGCTGATAAATGATTACCAGTTACCTTTGGATCGATTCATTATGCATCATTCAGGATAGTAAAGACGACTGGTCCAAGGAATGCGCTCGAATGACCGACGTCTACGCAAAGAGCTATTTGACAATATCCGCTGCCTCGTGTAAAAACTACGAGCAAGGGTTCCTTAAAGCCACCACGGTCGAAACACAGGCCAGGCTCACCACCATACCCGGCTCACAAGATCGATACATCTATATCCGGCCTTTCCACAGGCCCGAACCGCGCACACCGCTTATGCACAGAGCATGGGTGTTTCAAGAGAGAATCTTGTCAACTCGGGTGTTGCATCTTACATCTTTCGAAATGGTATTTCTATGCGACCAATATGAAGCAGGCGAAGGTGGCTTCTTCAACCGTGAATCTGTTCGTTGCCGTGAAAAGCGACTTCTTTATGACGCGGACATTGGAGTTCACTTTTCCGCATACAGCCGGTGGCGTCAGGTGGTTCAGAGTTACTCGGAGCTTGACCTGACTTACAAAACAGACAAGCTTCCTGCACTTTCAGGTGCTGCGCGCCTAATACAAGAACGAACAGGAGATAGATATCTCGCCGGCCTTTGGAAGAGTAACTTGGTGGCTGGGTTAATGTGGCAAGCTACATGTCAAAAGAAAGCTGGAGCCAACCACAAGACGACATACATAGCTCCAACGTGGAGTTGGGCATCCATCCAAGATCATGTGATCCACTACCAACATTCTATCCATAATCACCCATTCCAGCTGAAAGTGGTAGACGCCCAAGTTTGTTTGTCGACTCCTAACCCTTTTGGTGAAGTATCATCGGCTTCCCTGATCATTGACGCTCCACTTCGAAAATTCCTCGCGTGCGACGTCACAAATTCTGAGATTCAGGGATCTTTTACCGTTGACTGGGGGATTCGAGATACTTCTGGCGACTTTCTCTTTGCGTTTGATGATGCCTGGTATCCGGGGCCCGAGTCCAGGACATTGTACCTGTTGCCATGTGTATCAGATGCCGCTTTGGGTGAGGAAGAGCTGGGATGGTTTCATGACTCCATGTGGCACGGCCTAGCATTAGAGCCCGTCGACCGGGAGAACCGGATCTACAAGCGGATTGGGGTGTTCCATTTCCATCGGACCGTTGGTCAAGAGAGGACGTGGTACGCTCTAGGCTTTGCTGATGCAAGAGTCACCATCATCTGAAGGCCAATCAGGTACGTCTGATTTACAACTCGAGGTCACTCACTTAGGGATTACTAGTAGTAGATTAGCTTACAATGTAAGTTCAGTAGAGCTTACTAATAGTAAGCACTAGCTGGTACTATGTAGAGGGCTCTAACCGTGTTAGTTACTAGAGTAATCCTACAGCTGTAGTCCCTGTGGGTCGAATTGAGAACCTGACATTCCACGACCCAACTTGGTACGGGTTGTCCCCTTAGCTTTTCCTAACTACAAATCCTGAATTTTCCCATCCTTGTAGCGCGCTTTGGCATTCGGCCCACCACGACTGGATGCCCCCGAACCAAACTAATGGCTCACGCTTCTTGCCTGGAATGTTTGCTCCCACCCACCAGGAATCCGTCTCGGTAGACAGTGTTCTTCCGTAATGGGTCCAAACAAGTTCCTTCCAGACTTCCGCAGCTTTCTCCGACGCTTCAATCAACTCGATTTTTTCACTGCGAAGCTTTTCCAAAAGCTGTGTCAGCCAGTCCACCTGCAACTCGACAAAGGGCGGTCCATTAGCAAGCGAGCTGGGTGCCTGTGGTGCATACAGGAGGAATGCATTGGGGAACCCGGGCACCGTCATGCCTAGGTGTGTGCTGATTCCATTCTTCCATTTGTCTTGAAGTTTGACGCCGTCTTTGCTATGGATGTTCATCTTGAACAGGCTACCCGTAAGGTTGTCGTAGCCGGTTGCTACAACCACCACGTCCAGCTCCCAGAGCTTACTAGCACCTTCTCTTCCCGTCACAATACCCTGAGCGGTGAACTCTTGGATGGGTGTCTTCTTAAGATCACACAAGGTGACATTGGGCCGGTCGACGGATTCGTAGTAGTCTTGCTCCAGACTGGGTCGCTTTGCACCGATCCAGTACTCCTGTTTCTCCGGGGCCAGAATCTCTCTTTTGACTGGATCTTTGATTCTCTGTCTTACCTTTTTCGCCCAAAAGTCGTATACACTGGCATTTGCCGCCTTGTTCACCAGCGTATCGCGGAAATTACAAGCTAGGTAGACGAACCCGCCTCGCTGCCAAAGCCATTCGTAAAGCCGTTGGCGCTCCTCCTCCGTCGCATCTGTCCAACTAGCTTGATTCTGATTGTAAGGATACCCAGTCTCTGTGTTGTGCTTTGCGAACCCAAGAATCGCGCCGTAGTAGCTTTTCAGATTGTCAGAATCGGCGATAGATATGGCCTTTTGGTTCATGGGAAACCCCGTTGATGGGGTACGGATGAAGACGGAAAGTTCGCAGTCTTCCTTGGCCAGTTCCTGTACAATTTGCAGTCCAGACGCTCCTTGTCCGATAACACCAATCTTCTTGCCTCGCGCGTCGAAGTCTTCGGGCCAGGAAGCCGGATGGATCATCTGGCCTTTGTAGCTGGACTTTCCCGGCCAGTCCGGAATGTATGGGTCACAAGACGATCCCACAGCAAACACTGCATACGTAGATGTAGCCGTCAGTCCATGAGCCTTGAAGCTCCAGGAGTTCTTCTCCGGGTCGTATTTGGCTTCCTCGACCCTAGCGTTGAAATACGTGTCTTTCCGCAGGTCAAGCACCTTGCCCATGTGGTCAAAATATCTCCGGAGCTCAGCATGGCCGGGATAGCGCTCCGAGAAGTTGAAATCCTGCCAGACTTCCGGCAGGCGCAATTGGTATGAAGGCGTTTCGCTATCAACCCTCGCTCCTGGGTAGCGGTTGATTCTCCAGACCCCGCCAAAGCCCGTGGATGCCTCGAGGATCTTGGCCGTGTATCCCATCAGTCGTAGTTTGTGGAGAGCATAGCATCCACTGAACCCAGTCCCGACAATGATTATGTCGGCGCTGATTTCAGTACTTGTGCCGTTTAAATGCGGTGCAGACATTTTTTTTTGGGGGGGGGGGACTGAGAGTTTCCAAAGCCAGGTTTTACTTGGGAGAAAAGGCAATTTTTTCTTTCTCGAAGCCATTCAATACTATACAAAAGCTTCATTACATATACTCGCGAACAGTACGTAGTAGTGCACCCTAAACGCATCGCACCAATAATGCGAATCTTTGGACTACATCCGCACGTGGGACTATTCCCGAGCCAGACCGCCATGCCCGTATTCGCCGTATTCGACGTATTCCATGCATTACCGCTCATCGGGCCTTTTTCCTTCCCCCCCCCACCTCCTGTCTTGACTTGATGCCCTCACATTGGCACTTCGGATTCCGCAATATCCGCTCACCGAGATGGAGTTACCCCGCATTGAATATACACTAAATAGCACTCCCGAACCTCCGTTCACGTAGATTCTGGGACATCAAGCCTACTTGGCTCTGTTTCTAGACCTGTTTCATCATATCTAGCCCTAATCGTTGCAAGTACAGCGTTGGCGCGCGGGTTCCTGATGAGTCTTTATGAGTCTTTATGAGTCTTTATGAGTCTTTATGAGTCTTTATGAGTCTTTATGAGTCTTTATGAGTCTTTATGAGTCTTTATGAGTCTTTATGAGTCCTGATGAGTCCTTCATTTCTGTCTTTTCTTTTCTGAGGCAAATTGACGGCGTGGCGCGGAGATTGCACTATGTTTAGTCTGGTAGAACTGACTTGAAAGACATCTGCCTGGCCTGCTTGCGCGTCTTTGGACTATCACAAAAGGGTAAACTGTATTCAGGGTTGTTGCGCTTCTGTTCTCTTTTTTGTTCTACAGAGAATGCTGATGCATGTGTCTAGGTATCGTGTATTACGGAGGTTTAGAATACCTAGAGCTGCAACCGGCTGTAAAGGGTCAAGATTGACAGACCGGAATAAGGATTAGCTGACCGGGGACTCCGTCTGACTGGCACTTCTCTACAAAAGATTGCTATGAAACGAGAAAAGCCTGTGCGCAACCCCTCTAGTGCTCCTCTTCTTTGATGAGCTAGAACCGACTTTGTCAAGTAGGATCTCGAAACACATCTCTTTCATTCTGATCATCGAGGCCTCTTGGAAGTCATATTCAAATAACACTCAAAAAAACGAAACCAGACATGGGTCTCGACATGGATAGCGACTTTGTTGCTGCCGCGGCTCCGGTACTGAGCGCCCCGGCCGGATTTCCAAAGCCAGGATTACATGACGTTGAGGGTCGTAGGAAGATCTTTTCTGCTGGCAATCTCGTGCCGATGAAACAGGGGGCTGATGGCGTGAAGTTGGAAATCCATACCATTTCAGCCTCGCATGGTCACCAGCTTCGGATATACCACCACAAGAAAGAGGACGCCATGGACCAAAATTCTCCTGCACCGGCAATTCTGCATTTCCATGGAGGTGGTCTCATCGCATCGAGTGCGGCTAATTCGATCCCCATGATCTCTGAATTCGTCCTCGCCACTGGGGTTCAAGTGTTCTCGGTTGATTACCGGCTTGCGCCAGAACACCCATACCCGATACCCCTCGATGATTGCTGGTCTGGCTTGGAATGGGTTGTGTCAAAGGCAGCCGAATTTCGCGTCGACACTGCCTCCATTGCCGTCATGAGTGAAAGCGCCGGTGGGAATCTTGCAGCCGCAGTGACGCTGTTGGCGCGAGATCGAGGATTATCGCCCCCGCTAGCAAAGCAGATCTTAGTCTACCCTATGCTGGATGACCGGAATTCGTCCAAGGGCATTGGGCCAGTGTGCTTTTGGGATGAAGTCGACAACGTCACGGGTTGGACAGCATATCTAGGCCACGAACCTGGACGGGCTGGAGTTCCAATGTTTGCAGCACCTGCGCGTACGGAGAGTGTTGAGGGCTTGCCTCCCCTATACTTGGACGTCGGCCAGCTTGATCTGTATATGCTTGAGGATCTGGAATATGCTAGAAGGTTTATCCATGCTGGTATCGAAACGGAGCTGCATGTCTATCCAGGTTTACCACACGCATTTGATTCGCTTACGCCTGAGCATCCCATGACGAAAATGGCGAAGGAGAATCGATATAGGGCTATTCGAAAACTGAACCGCTAATATGTTCAATGTATATAAGAGGATCAAAAATAAATCTACGTAAGAAATAGCCTGTGTTTTCTCATATAGTCGCGCAAGTGTTTATGAAGAGAACTCCAATCCATCTCTGTAGACTGTCAACATTGATGTTAATTTTACAATCGGAAATTATTCCACTTGTACATGACTAATAGTCCTCGAGGAAACCTATTTCGGTTCTACAAGAACTTTCAACAAGGTCTCTTTATTTGTAACTAGCGCTTCCAGCCCCTGACTAACAAACTGGTCCAATTGGATACGACTGCTGATCATCCTCTCCACACCCTTGAACTTGCCTAGATATTGTGAGCCAGTGGTTTTGTCATATCAGAGAGTGATGTTGCATACCTTCATTGAAATCATTGACAACCTCTCGGAAATCAACATCGTTATAAGCAACCGAGGCGACGAGTGCTATTTCTCGAGCATACCACTCCATCATTGGCAATGCAATCTAGTGTTATACCAAATTAGCTATGAACACAATGCCAGAGTATATTCAAACGTACCGGCTTTCCTGGAACTGCCACGAGAATGTATTTCCCTTTCTTGCGCAAAGCTGACATCGCCGGTGCCATAGCAGGGATAAATCCTGCACAGTCAAACACAACATCAACACCATTACCATCAGTGAGTTGCTCAATAGTGTCCACTAGATTTGCTTCTTGAGGGTTGATTGCAGCGTCGCTAATCTCTCGTGCATACTCCAGTCTTAGTGCAGAGGGCTCTGATACAAAAATAGGACCTGTTCCGACTACTTTGAGATTGTGGATGACTGCAAGTCCAATTGGGCCAGCGCCAAGGATAAGTGAAGTCTTGTCTCGAAACCCAGAAAACTCGGATACTCTCAGGGCGTGTCTTGCAACTGCCAGAGGCTCAATCAGACATGCTGTGTCGAGGCTTGAGTCGGCAATGGGATAGCATCGCTTGGGGTCGACAGCGACGAATTCCGAGAAACCACCTCCACCGCCCCCGCTCAAGCCAACGAAGCCTAGTTTGGAGCAAAGATTTGTGTCTCCTTGCTTACACATAGCACACTCTGAGCAATAGAGGCGGGGATCAACCATGACGGCTTGTCCAACTTCCAAGGAGCTGTTTTCAGGTACCTCAACTATACGACCGCAGAGCTCATGACCCAAAGTCACGGGGAGAGTATCTCCAGTAATACGATCTTTTGTTCCTGGAGCTGGTGTCCCCATTGGACCTACTCTGTTAGAATCATGCAACGCAGTGGAAGACTGTCTTACAAGTGTGGTAATTTGCCAGATCAGTCCCACAAATACCACACCACGTAACCTGTAAGAGTACATGGTCTGCTGGGCGCTTTGGGATACCAATCTCCTCAATACGCACATCTTTGACGCCGTAGTATCTAGCAGCCCTCATTTTGCTTGTTTTTCTTCTTCTTCTTCTTCTTCTTCTTCTTCTTCTTCTTCTTCTTCTTCTTCTTCTTCTTCTTCTCTTTGTATATTCGGTTGCGCGGCGAGGTGTGGTAAGTTGGCAGACTAGACGTTGGAGATGTCTTGGAAAAGTTATGAACAAATGTTGTCTACACGGGATGCTCCAGTAATACCGGATTTGCTATCCAATCATGTATAACCACGCACCACCTTGGAGCTATATCCGTACATGGTTTCCCAACCAAGGAAGTTCTATGCTTACAAGAGACTGCACATTAAGAGCAGGGTTGTTTTAAGGTTTGCTGCTCCGCATCGAGTTGCCGCAAGGAATGATCGCCGTCATCGTCGGAGGTTGTCCAGACCCGTGTTCCGTACGGATACTGTAGGAAATTGCCGGCTGCTGTCCATCCTGTTATACTATGCGCTGTGGGGAGCCTGTCACAAATTATCCTAGTGTGTTTTCTTCCAAAAGGGAATTATGCCCTTCCCCTTTTAGTTCAAGGGTTACCTTACGTCCAAATTGCGTGCGCGTGTCGAAAGTCTTGGAGACCAGTTCAACATCGGGATCTAAGTATGGAGTTTCGGCCCTCGGATGGTGCTCAGTTTGCTCCGCATCACAATCTATTGGGCTTCGGCCTCCGGATGCTGCTCGACTCACCCGCGATATAGACTAGGAATCTGGCTATTCCTTTAGCGAGTAAGTACGCTAGTTTTTTTTTTACCAGTTAGCGCGCAGATCCCGTATTGCGTTGTGGAATACGGTGGTGAGCACGTAAAATCACGCATAGAAATCAAACAGTTAGCACAAGAAAATGAATTACATGACCATATGCTCCAGCACAAAACTACTATAAATCAAGTCAACGCAAGCCATATGTCTCTGCATACTCTGTTTCAAGCCTCGAAACATACTTCAAGAACATTCTTTTGTTAGCCACTCCCTTGACCGTTTGCAATGTCTCAATTTCAGCCTGATGAGCAGGAGCTGCTCCAGAGATACCAGAAAGAGCGCGAAAAGCGCATTGCTGATGCAGCTATCACCGAATCCTTTGATACCCGGTCAAAAGAAATTCAAGATCTTGCTAAGGACCTATGGGTAGACTGGAACGACCCAAGAATTCAGAATCCTCCCCTCAAGGATGGAGATAGCGTAAAGTTTCTAGTCAACGGGGCTGGTCACAATGGCCTGCTCTACGCTTGCCGTTTGGTCGAGGCTGGGTTCAGTGCAAAGGACATTGTATGCGTTGATACAGCGGGTGGATTTGGCGGCACCTGGTAATATTTACCACTTTTTGATTCAAATTTAGACAACAGCTAACCAGTGCGATAGGTACTGGAATCGGTATCCTGGGCTCATGTGTGATATCGAAAGCTACATCTATCTTCCACTTGTAGAGGAGACCGGATATACGCCCAAGCACAAATACTCATTTGGCGCCGAGATTCGCGGTCAGAATGAGCGAGCTGCTAAGCACTTTGGCATCCAGGGCCAGTTTTGCACCAAGATCGAGTCGCAGATTTGGAACGACGACAAGAATGTTTGGGTCGTACAATTGACCCGTACCGTGGATGGGAATGGAAAAACTGAATCTTTGACTGTCTTTGCGGATTTTGTCATTGTCAGCGGTGGTGTCCTCAATGTTCCGAAGATTCCAAAGCTTCCAGGCTGGGAAGAATTCAGAAAAAACAAGCGGGTGTTTCATTCCGCTTGCTGGGACTATACTTATACGGGCGGTACCCAGGAGCAGCCTGACTTGGTCAACCTCAAAGACAAGACAGTTGCAATAGTTGGTACAGGCGCCACTGCTGTGCAGATCATACCCGAATTGGCCAAGTGGGCCAAACACTTGTACGTTGTTCAAAGGACACCGTCATACTGCGGGTATCGCGGTAACCGTTTGACCGATGAGGAGCAATTCAAAGACTTGTCGAAGGAGAAAGGATGGCAGAGCGCCCGGCGACTCAATTTCAACGCATGGGTCACTAACAATCCTGAAGGATACGGACCTAATCTTGTAAACGATGGATGGACCCATACTCCAGCTGCCGAAGCTTTTTTGGGAACAACCAGAAAAACAGTTCGGCCACACGAGGCGGAAGAATACATGCGAGAAGTCCATCGAATTGACCGGCCGCGTACTGATGCCTTGCGCAAGCGCGTCGACGATGTGGTCAAGGATAAAGACACTGCCGAGAAGCTGAAGGCTTGGTACGGCAGTTGGTGCAAGCGGCCTACTTTCCATGACGATTACTTGGAAGCATTCAACAAACCCAACGTCACCTTGATTGACACTGACGGAAAGGGTCTGCAAGCATTCTCCAAGAATGGCCTATTGTTCGGCGGCCAGGAGTACGAAATCGACGCTCTAGTCCTCGCAACTGGATTTTCTCAATTTAACAATGGAGATGTTTCTCAGAAGCTCGGTACAGTTATGCGAGGACGGAATGGGCAAACCATGACCCAAAGAACCGAAACTGCGACTAACGCGCCACTGTTGGGTATGGCGATTTCGGGCTTTCCAAATGTCTTCTCCTTCTTTTCCCGCGGGGGTGGGGCTTCGTGGAATCTCACATCCATATACGATACAATGGCAAAATACCTAGCATCCATACTCAAGCAGGCACACATGGAGCTGGAAGACGGGAAAAAGATAATCGTCGAGGCCACTCCAGAAAGTGAAGATAAATGGGGCGATGAGATTGCAGAGAGGGCTGCTGTGTACAGTGGAATGAGTGCTTGCACGCCTAGCTACTTTACTGGTGGTGCTCAAGGTATCAAAGCCCGGGAGAAGCAGAGCAACGAGGACTTGGCAAAAAGTGCAAGGATGGCGGCCTGGGGCTCAGGCCCGGTCGATTACCAAGAGATATTGGAACGTCTCGCAACCAAGCCAGAGAGTGGAGGCTTCAAGATTAGTGTTGTTTCTGCAACCGGCTAACCCAGTTCATGTTAGATCATTTGTTGTTTGTTTTATGAGTGATTTTGACGTGCGGACGCAGCGGCTTTCACAGCGCAGTAGAGTACTTAGATTATAGCTATAAATTCATCATCTTGTTGCGTAAAGAAGTTAGGTACTACAAATCACTGATTATAACAGGCCGAATGCCTTTAGGCAGCTCCTTTATGGGATATCGGGCGCCACCTAAAGCACCTAGAATCTGTATACAGTCTGAGCGTTAGACAACACGGTATATGCAGAAGCAGTAGATAGTGGTAGTAACATTACTTGTATTGCACGATACGGATCGCTAGTGAGCCATACTAGCGATCAGAGGTCGTTATATACCACCTTCTAGTAAGAGCACGTGATTATGTGCCAGGGTGCTACGGTCGGACCCAGGGTCTGACAATTGTCGTTGCTTGCCGAGCGGGAAACCTGGGATGGCCCGCAAGGAAATGTTTGAGGCTCAGGGGCGTGCATCTTGAGACCACAATGTTGATTTAGGAGAACAAATGGCTCTGCTTTATGTTTCATGCGTGGACTGGGTTGCTCTGGATCTTCCTGCGGACCTGGAAGTCTTGCGCAGTATAAGAAGCAGGAAATAGAGTCTCGCGGAATACGTGATAATCTGGAGTCGTCATTAGATTATCCCCCTTGCAACACCGTGTCTTACTGTGTATTCTCAAAGATCTCAACTTCCGCTCGGGATACTGCGCGAGGGTTGCATGTATAGGGGTTTCGGTGGGTCTGGCATGCTTCCCTGATCGTTGGCCAGGCTCCTCTCTCTTGGTGCGCAACAATAGTGCAGAAGCAAATACCTAAAGTTGGGCGGTTTTGATTGCGCTATTTTGGCTCACCAAGATCCCATCCCCACTAGTTCCTTGGAATGCGTCAGCCTTTGAACTTCAGCCTCACCTCAGCCTCACCTCGTTACACTATTCCACTTGATCAGCATATACATTCCCGAGGACCCACAGGAGACTCAAAAGCAAAACAAACCAGATTCCATCCCTCTTGTAGTCGTCATCATCTCTCAACCGTCTGTCTTCGATGGTTGTGACCTCCCATTCGCCATGCTTCATTCTTGCTGCCTGCGACACCGTTGTAGCAACATCCTGCCTTTGGGATGCCCGGCCGCTGGCCAGACCATTCGAGCCCAACATCTGGCCAAATTTTCTGACAGGCGCCTCACATCTATCTTGGCACCTTATCATCTATTCTATTATCCCCAGGCGCTTGTTGGACGGTTGTATACAGATTTGTCATTTCCCCTCCAGCTCTTGGAAAAGCAAAGTCAGAGGCGTTTTTGCGCCATACAAGTGGCATAGCGTAGCATCTGGGAAGCCATCCGATTCGTCGCGGAACCGCTCCCGATGATCGTGTCCAGATGCGCACACCGTTCGCCATTAGACGACACTGGTGGCTTGCATTCGTAATCTCAGTTTTCTCTATGTTTGGTTATACTCAAGGAACATTATGCCGCCCCAATGGGGAACAGTGCCTCGATGATGGCGGTGGCGGTCATGACTAGACGGCGCTTCCCAGGGAGAACCTTCACTCTATCGATGTATCGATGCACTGTGATCGGGCTGTACGAGCCCACTGTTCGCGACAAACTTTAACAGCAGTTCTCTCTCGCTGATTCGCGTATCCTGCGGAAGATGACTTCCAAACAAAAAGGGGGGTGGGGGTCTCTGGCGGGAGACGGCAATAAGGGAGACATCGCTTCCTGACTAGAAGGCGTTTTCTCATCCTCTGCTTCAGAGTATTGCAGGTTCTGAGTCAGTTTCGATCCTGTCTGAAGTAGCGTATGGTCTGATATTTCAGGATGGGCAGATCATCAATATATATGTATCCGCGTCTTCTGGCAGACTTTACAAAGAGAGACTAGACGACTCCGAATTATCAAGATCAGCCCCCAGTTGTCCGCATCTATGGCCCCACATCCAAAGGGCCCGGGCTTAGCCCTTGTAGTCACAGCGATTGTGCTTTCGATCTTAGCTTCAATTACTGTCGCCCTGCGGATTATTGCGAGGCTGAAGATCAAAGCTCTGGGCAAGGATGACTGGCTCATGATTCTCGGCCTGGTAACTATACCCATATTGTACTTTGACATATGCCTAACTTTGGGCAGCTTTTATTTCTTCTTTGCTCTGCATTTGGGGTACTTGCTACTTTGAACGGGATCAGGGCTCACCTGTCGCAGCTGACCTTTGAGGATATCCTCAAATGTCGAAAGGTGAGTATCGCTGAGCTCGACATGAGGCTGGCTCCAGTACTGATCTGTCTAGTACTTTATCGTGTATCAATTAGCGTATGGCGCGACGACTGCTCCGATCAAGGCTTCGATCTGTGTCAATCTACTGAGGATTACTCCTGAAAGAGTGTATCGGATTACACTCTGGCTGGTGATTGGCCTGTCGGTTATCTCTTCAATTATCAACGAAGTCGCATTCCTTCTTTCGTGCCAGCCCGTACAAGCTCTTTGGGACCCATTCGCGGGGCACTGTGTAGGGCCGGGCACCTTTCTCGCCATCTCTTATACCACAGCCATAAGCAACATCATTACCGACTGGGCCTGCGCAATACTACCTGCACTCATTCTTTGGAAGATACAAATGAATCTGCATGTCAAGGCATCTCTTGTCTTCGTTCTCGGGCTCGGCGTAATGTAAGTAGGCAGCGGATCTCGGTTGATACAACAGCTCACAAGAACAGCGCTTCAACCGCAACACTTATGCGTCTTGTGTACATTGCCAAGTACGGGAATTCCGAGAATACCGATAATGCTGTATATGGCATCGCCAACATCGCTACATGGGGTCTTCTCGAATCAGGAATCGGAATCATAGCGGGCTCGCTTGCGACTCTCCGCCCTATCCTTGCATATATTCCTTTTATGCGTAAACTTGCCCCCACCAACTCCAATGTCAAGACGCCAGTGATCACGGACCACTCACATCGACTGGATGTAATCAGAAGCACTAGAAAGACCGGCGCCATGGAATCGGCAAGGTGGTCAACGGCGGGACCTTCACACCTGCATAGCAAATGCGGTGTTGAAAGCAGGGCGTGGGAGGAACTGAGCGATGGTGGGAGTCAGAGGAACATCCTGAAGAACACCAGCGTTGCCGTCGAAATCGAGAGCCGCGAGGATCGGATAGTCTAGCGTACGAGGAATACACTTTTCAATTTATTCCCGGTCGCGTAGATGATGATTCAAGTCACTTTGCATAGCACCGATTGTACTATGATATCGCTCGAATGAGGATGGAAGAGCACCCAGGAAGACTAATCAATTTCAAGCTAGCAAACGAAAATCAAGCCTTACAACCTTGAATCAAACGATTGTGGCAAGGGAAGAACATCGACTACGCAAATCCCCAAACAAGGTACCGATCAGCCATCTCCCTCCACAACCCGATCCGGCTCCACCATTGCCACTTTTTCGCGCACCCACCCACACCGTGCTTTCCCTCGCCTCTATACAAGACGAGAACAGGATGAGGATAGCATTGTGCAAAGTGTCTTGTCTTCAACATTTTAGAAACAGGTTGATCGAATCTATCGCAATGTACTTTCCAGCTTTCCAACCATATTTGTCAATTGTAACTATTCTCCATACGCAAAATCGACATCCGACAACCGAGAGAAAAAAACATCTACAAGCTCACTCGTGTGCGGCGAAATATATACATGTTGTCTCAATCCAGGAAGTATGACTTTCACTCAATTCGGCATCATGGCACAGCAAAGACATTCCAAGGAAGAAAAAAAAGAAATTCTCGCGTGCAGGCAGGCCAAAGTAAGTAAATGCGCCACATGCAACCCATTCCGCTACGGCCCAATCCCTTGGAACGGTTATTTTCCCCGCGCGTGAAATTAGGATTCCGCAACCCAAGGCTATAAGGTTTGCTTTTGGACCACCAGGGTCAAAGTTTCGCTTTGCCATATCAAGTGGCGTAGACATGCTTGTTCCATCAGCCACGATCGTGGCATGTGCTTGATACTATTGTGATGAACCAATACTTTTGCCCGACAGCGAGCAAATACGAGCCTATAGGATGCATTGGAGATGAAGTTCATTTGGCCGCGCTTTGCGATTGGAGTGTTGTACTAGTTCACATCTTGTGTTGGTGGGAACGACTAGCTTGGGGATTTGAGTTTGGGGGATTTGGGGGCTTGCGCTCGAAAAGGATAAATTGACTGGGAAACGTCACCGTTCAACTTTCACTAGAGTACGCCATTCGGAAGTTTTGGCTTCTTTTTATCAAAATGCCTGCTCCTCATTATTCTGGAAGTAGGGTTAGATGTGCAATTGGAAAATGGCCTGTGCTAGGTTTCTGGCCTGCATGTTGGAACCCAAATCGACCAGTGAATGGAAAAAGATCTGAGTGTCTTATCTCACAGCAAGGATCTTAAAAGAGCCTAGCGGAAGGTCAGTGTCAAATGTGTAGGCTTTTCAACTCAATTCAGTACATACCGACCCACTCATTGAAGTTGACATCCTTTGCCAACAACTCTTTCTGTGGGATCTCATCTTTGGCTTTTTGTCCCCCACAGCACCCAACTTGTTCCTCCTCTTTACTACACTTTGCATTCGTAACGTCACTAGTACAGCATTCACTTCCCTCGGCATCCCGATAAACATTGACATCCGTTCCCGCATCCACAATACTCACCTCTCTAAACCCAGCACTCTTCAGCCACTCCTCATACTCCCCTACTAAGCTTGCCCCGGAGATACATCCCACATATGTCGCCATATCTTTCTGCAGATCCTCTGGCAGCGGCTTCTTGGCTAGAATATCCGAGACCGCAACTCGTCCGCCAGGCTTGAGGATGCGCGCCATTTCGTAGAAGACGAGGGCCTTCTGGCCGTGCGGAACGAGATTGATGACGCAGTTTGAAATGACTACATCTGCGGTTCCCGATTCGATGGGTATGGCCGTGATGGGAGATTTGATAAAGGAGATATTCTTCGCATCTGAGTTCTCCAGATTGCGTTTTGCGCGGGCGAGCATTTCCTGGCCGTGGCTCGTCAAAAAAAAGATCATCTGAATCTCTGATGGCTCTCTCCTGCCCACCCCCATTCTTCCTTGTCCATCTATGCCACTTACAACGTTCAACTAAGTATTGGCGGGGTGACTTACCTCGCTAAAATCCACCCCAATCGCTCTGCCACTTTCCCCGACTTTCCTAGCTGCAAGAAACACATCGAACCCAGCTCCGCACCCCAGATCCACAATCGTCTCTCCTTGCCTCAGATTTGCGAGTGCAGTCGGGTTCCCGCAGCTTAGGCCGAGGTTAGACTCCGCAGGGATGGCTGCAAGGTCTGAGGGGGTGTAGCCAAAGGCTGATGCAACGGCTGTGGAATAGGATTTTGAGGAAGCCGAGGTGGTAGTCGAGGCGAGGGTGGAGTAGTGGGTGTGGACTGCGGATGTAATGTCTGATGAGGCCATGATTTTGAGAGCGGCACTTTTGCGCACTTAAAAGACGGAGACTCTGAAATATATATATTCTAATATATATATTCTGTAGATCTGCTATCTGTGGGCTGTTAGTATGTCACCGTTGGGTTGATCGATATGTCACGCTTTGGACAATCAGGTGGGGTAAGCATCGCTGCACGTCATTCCCACCAACAAGCTTCATGGACGATATCAAAGCTCACGTATTCGTGCTCCAGCTACGGTATCGCATACTCCGTCTTCTGTTGTTACCCAGGACTAAGTGACATATTTGCCTGGGTATACATGTTGGAGATGACTTCGCAGTGGGCCTTCATCACGGGCAAGATATTTCCGCATTTTCCCTTACCCGGCTGACACGAATAGAATTTGAATGATTTGGCGTGATATTCAAGGATAGAGAGAGGTAAGGAAAGTCGAGATATGTGTTGTACTATAGGTTTCGTCGCGTAGTGCCCTGTTAGGGATTGCCCAGGGCGAGCGGAACTTCCGTGATATTGTTCGACTACAATGCGATTGTCGAAGCATACATTGCTTTCTGAAGACTTCCGAGAAGACCATTGAGATTCGAGCACGCAACTAGGACTTTGCATGGGCCTAGATTCTTGGCCTAGAAGAACAAGCTATGATAGCGATATGCGGTGGCCCGGAGTTGAACAAAGCAATTATGCTGCTAGAACCGGGCCTAACACAGTTCGCGTTGGATTATAGTTATACGTAGAGTTACTATAAACGTTTAAGCATAAGTGCTGTTCATCACTAGTGTATTTCTACAAGTGACTTCAACGTACTAACGTAGCGGATTTCACAATGCGATACGACATATAATAGACGATAGCAGTAAGGAACTATATCCCATGCCCTATGCGCAATACATCAGTAGTAATATATGTTACTACTACTTATGAAGAGCGGAAGCGTTTAGTAGATACAAGATCCTGTTTATGAAATAGACTTTGCTCGACGGCCTCTTGCTTGCAACAATATCCAGTTGCAAAAGCCATTCGAAAAAAAAAACCCCCAATTTCCCATGATATCTTTGCAATACGTTACTTATTACTTTACACTTATCAAATACAACAATATTACCAACCAAGAGAAAGACATGTGAAGAGCGAGTCAACAACACTAGCCCAATCAGCAGAGCCTCGAATGACATAGGCCCCCACAAGCTTAATTGCCGCTTGTCAGCTCTTGGTAAGCCGACATACCCCGCATCCAGGAACCGAAGTATACCTCCGACCACCACCATCTCCACCACCTGCCGACAGCGCAAAGACCACGCATTGCTGGCCAGCACTCTGGGACCTATCGACCTCATTCAATGCGTATTTTTGGGGTGACAATGGACAAGGGAGCCGTGTATATACGTCGTTGCGCTGGCTTTTTTTGTGCGCGGACCACATTCCGCTGCTGACACCATACGGAGATTCACGGCTGACAATTGGGGGGTAGCTCTATGGTTTAGTTTTTGTTTCGTTGGAGGGGAGCTACTAATTCTGCTCTTGATCCTCTCCTTCTCCTCCTCTTTCTCTCTCTCTCTCTTCTCTCTACAATTGAGGTAAAGTCGAGTCCTTTTTTCCTTTTCTATCCCGTACCCAACCAAGGTCCAATTCCCACAAAACGTACGTACAACAACACACGTCAGCGCTCCCCCCCCCCACACAGCCGAGATCTAAACACGTCAACCACAGAAACACTACCACGGTTGCCTCTGCACAGAATCACCATTAGAAAGCTAGACCCAGAAAAATGTCGGCAGACGCTTCCACGGTGCCCGTCCTCAAGGACCTGACGATTGACAACATCACCGAGAACGTGCAGCGCATCAACTCGCAGTGCCGCGATGCACGCCTCAAATACATCATGGAGAGCCTGGTCTCGCACCTGCACGATTTTGCGCGCGAGACGCGGCTGAGCTTCGACGAGTGGATGGCCGGCATCATGTTTCTGACGTCGGTCGGCCAGATATGTTCAGACGTGCGACAGGTAAGTTGAGTTTGTGTGTGTGGGCTCCCCCAATTTCTCTCTCCCCCCCACTTCCCGAGACACTCCGGTGTAAGCATCATCAGCATAAGCACAAGCAGCAGCAGAAGTAATAGTAGCAGTAATGTCCATGTATGCTAACCGAGGCTATGTGTTACCCGAAAACAGGAATTCATCCTGCTATCCGACATAGTCGGCCTGTCGCTGCTGGTCGACTCGATGGACCACCCGAAGCCGCCCTCGTCAACCGAAGGCACGGTGCTGGGCCCGTTCCACACGCACGACGCGCCGCCGTCGGCATCTGGCACCGCCATCTCAGCGGACCCCTCGGGCACGCCCATGCTCGTCGTGTGCACTGTGAAAACAACCTCAGGCGCGCCCGTCGAGGGCGTCAAGGTCGACATCTGGGAGACGGATTCAAAGGGCAAATACGACGTGCAGTATGAGGACCGCGGCAGCAAGGCGGATGGCCGCGCCATCATCACGAGTGATGACAAGGGCGTCTTTTGGTTCAAGGCTATTGTCCCTGTGCCGTATCCCATTCCTCATGACGGGCCCGTGGGCAAGTTGCTGGATAAGCTGGGCCGCCACTGCTGGAGGCCGAGCCACATGCATTTTATGTTTGAGAAGGAAGGTTTTGATAACTTGGTGACGTATGTTCCCTTCCCTTTTCCTTCTTCTTTATCCTTCGCTTGTGGCGAAGCATACCTCGCTTACTTACTCTGCCCCGGGAAAACAAAACAAAACTGACAGCAACTTCAGAGCGCTCTATGTCCGCGGCTCGCTGTATGAAACCTCTGACGCCGTCTTCGGCGTCAAGGAATCCCTCATTGTGCCTCTGGAAACCGTGACGCCCGAACAAGCGAAACAGTACGGCGTCAGCGAAGATTGCCAGCTGCTCAAGTACGACTTTGTGCTTGTCACGGACGAGGAAACAAGGCAGCTTAGGAACGAGGAGGCCGCCAAGGCCATGAAGGCGCTGGGCAGGGAGGGCATGATGATTGTCAATGGAGTGCCTGTTCCTGAGGTTGATTGAGCCATGACTTGTACTATGTAGAAAAGTTAAGAAGAAGAAGAAAAAAATTAGATCAATTAAGCAATATCAAGTGTTGAATGTTTGGGATGAAAAGCACGACGAACACGCTGAACGATTGGAAGGAATCACATTTAAGAGAGAAATTGAATTATGCTCACAACTCCCGACCCCCAGAGCCGTAGCTGTATCTGACTCGACCTTTCCCCGTGCTTACTTCTAACATTTACGCTCACAAAAATTATTAAATGGAAGGAAAAGAAAAGGGGAGCGGGAGCGGAAGTGTCCAAAGACCCAAGGTGGATGGATAATAAAGTAAACTAGCAGAAAAGGTTGTAATACAGCAGTAGCAGTAGCAGTAGCAGTAGTGGTAGTGGTAGTGGTAGTAGTAGTAGCGCTCAAACAGCAAACACATTGACTCGCAAAAGGGGGTAAGGAAAAAAGGGAAAAAGGAAGATCAGGATCCTACACAGGAAAAAAAAAGAAGAGACTGGGGGTAAATAACAAAGAGACAGAAAATCCCGCTAGACAAAAGGAAAAAAAACAAGGAAAAAAAGACCGACCCTGAGCAATGCATAATCCCAAAGACATAAAAAAAAGAAGAGCATCATCAACTCGTCACTCTGCGAACCCACAAAGCACTGCCTGCAGCATTGGGGTCATCCTTTTCCCTCTTCTTCCACGCGCGATGCAACTTGAGGCCTACGTCGTATTCCTCGCGTCGAATCTCGTCGAGCTCCACCTCGAATGCCTTCTTCTTGTGCTCGACGGCCTTTGCCTTTTTGAAGTCGGTTAGCAGGGGATTGGAGGGGACGGATTTGTTGAGGTCGCTGAGGAGGCGGTAGACGTTGTTGCGGCGGATGCGGAGGTCTTCTTGCTGCGATTCAAGCAGGGCAATGTGGTCGAGAGCGCAGAGAGCAGTGGGCGGGTGTGGCAGGGCTTTGGTTGTGTTGGAGCTGCCGCTCGAGGTGGAGAAGGTGGATGCGACTGAGGGAGACAGCATGTTTGATATAGCGGGTCGCGAGTCGGGAATGCGGTCGGCGTGTGGCACAGGGCGGCGGCGAGTGAGCACCGAGGGCGAGGTTAGCAGTGGGGGTGACGGGGGCGGCGAGTGCTGCTCAGTCGACAAGGCGTTGTACGAGCTGTACGAGGTCCACGAGAAGTCGCTTGCAATAGGCCGCTTGGTCGATTGGGGCGGGGTCGGAGTTCGGCGGACAGGCAACACAGGCGGGGCAGAATTGACTACGAGGGTTGGAGACTGTTGTTTGTGGTCAAGGAGTGAGATGGTGCTTGGGTAGGCGAATGAACTGATTCCGAGGCCCTGGCCTATAGGTGAAATGGGAGAGGTCAATCCGCTTCCGGGGGGCGACTTCTTGCCTACTTTTAGCGGGACGACAGACTTGATGGTGTCTTCATGCATGTAGAGACCCGGTGTTTCGGCTGCAACAGGATGAGTCTCACGCAGCATGGATGCGTGATCCACGGCGGCCGCAAGCGTGTTTAATCTTTCCGAGTCGACGCTTGGCGTTATTATCCTTCGTGGTAATTGCAAGGTCTTTTCTCCGGATGGAGTCTTGACAGCTGTGGGGGCTGGTAGCGTACGCTTGGAGCCGAAGCGGGTGAGGCGCTCTCCAAAGCTAAGACTTTTCTTTTCGGGGTGGTTGTTTGCTGTTACCGAGACGTGATAGCCCATGGGCTGGATACTAGCAGAGGGAATGCCTCTCCCAAACGTGCCCGGGTCCACTGACGCGGCCTTGCCAGCGACGTTGGGCTCACCCGAATAGTCGTCCCATTTCACCTTGCTGTTTGGTGCAAGCTTGCCTTCCCAGAACTTTTGCTTGGGAGCAGGCGGCACATCGCCACTTCGAACCACCGACGGTGCTCTACGTAGGACAGGCACGGCGCCAAGGTCACGAGACTCGCCGTGCATCTTCTTTCGGTTGTCGTCCATTGGGGATACGTCGCGTATAGACGTGTCGCGTGTAGATCGAGACCTTGGATGGGCATCAAACGGCGAAGTAAACGTTTCGGGTTCTGGAGAGCTTGGTGGTGATAGATGGTCGTACCCCGAGCGTAGCGTAGCAGTGGGGTTGCTGTAGTAGTAGTACTCGATCGAGGCCCGTGAGTAGACCGAAGAGTCTGTTGGGGCTGCTGAGACTCGCTTAGTCGAAGCTAGAGTCGGTACCTCTGACGCTCTAGGGGTTCGAGGCTTTGGGGATAGTGAGCTAGATTTGGCGTGAGCACTGGGGGGGTGTAGGATGCAATGACTGGAGAACCTACAGCGAGTCTAGCGGGGGAAGTACATAGTTTTGATGAGCGGCAATCTGTACATCGGTGACATTAGGAGTACGGTCGAGTTGATCCTGGTCATAGGTAGTTTCGACCAGGACCGGGTTGCCTATGTGCACATGCTTCTCTTTCTCGCGGACGTGACCCTGTAATCGTTTCCACATGGTGAGGATGCCTGCGTGAAACCACAATTAGTCTCATGCGGCGCTAGTACAAGTGCGTGCCAGCAGGCGAAGGGTGTGGGAGAAGATCATGGCCTGTCGAATGTGGGACTTGAGCGGAGGGGTCTGGGGAGAAGGGCCAATGGTGGACGTGTGGTACTGGCACCGTCCGGGGGCGGGAGAGTGAATTGCGTGCAGATTGACAGACAAGGGTGGGTTTCGCGGACACTAGGAAAGGGACCAATACAAGGCTTGGAATATGGTTGTACGTACCGCGGGAGAAGATGGGCAGGGCAACGTCAGGTGGGAGCGGGTCGGATTAAGTGGGCAAAGAGACGTTGTCTTCTCCTGGGGCGCAATTTTGATAAATGAAAGGGAGGCGATGGAGTCAGCGGCGCAATGTAAAAATAATCCGGCCTGAGTCGCGATAGACGACGAGGGGACGGCAGGCTAGGCGAGGCGAGGCAGGCCTCACCGGACTCGACGCGGTGAGCCAGGCGTAGCACCAGATGGTCGTCTAACGGGCACAACGGTTTGCCAGCAGCGATGGAGTCTCGGAACCGTAGTTTGTTGGCGGGAGAGGCGCAAGCAGCGAGGGCGAATCACGATGTGGGGTGACGACTCAGGTGAATCCGAGAGACGCGTTTCAGGCCGGGGCGGTTTCAGCCTTGGCCCACTGTGGCACAGCGGGAACGGCGGCACGCAAGATTGTAGGCTTGCGGACGAGTAATCGATGTCGAGTGAAGACGAGAGAGAATGCGAGTGAGAGAGAGAGATTGCGGCACTGTTTATCAAGACCCGCGAGGGCTGTTATCGCATGTGGCCGGCCATGGTGTTGCAAGTAGCCCCCCGTTCACGGACAGCTGGCCGTCCAATGTGCGTTTGAAGCGAATGCACAGGGGGACCAAAACGAAAGCAGTCCATGCCGATGCGGGCTGACATGGGATGGAGCGGGTTTCTTTTGGTGGTGATGATGGTGGTGGTGGTGATGGTGACGGTGGTGGTGATGATAGTAAGCTGTAGTAGGCGGACGGGCGACGGGAAGAAGCGGGGACGGGCATTGATTGCATCATTGCCCGATGCTCCGCCACTAAAGTAATACTGCCGCCATTATTACCATTGCCATTACCACTGCCATTGCCATTGCTTAGTTGCTGCGTTGCATCTCGACAACACCATCTCCCCCCCTCCTACGACTCCTGCTGCCCTGACATCCCCTCCTCGCTACCCCCGCAAACATGGCTGACGGTACGCATCGCTGCCCCTGTCTCCTCGCTACACACATTGCCTGACCGCCCAAACAGCTGTCCCCTCGCCTGTCGCCGACGTCACGGCAGCCCACGCGTAAGCACGCCTTTTCTTCTTCATACTCGCCTATGCTATGCGTTGCGCGCCCAAACTAAGCCCGTCGCAGCACCTCCGTCTTCACCCCCATCAATCTGCTGCTTCTCTCGCTCTTTGGCTTCCTCGTCTATCTCCGCCTCAAGCCCTCGACGCCCCAGACGCTCCCTCGCGCCCCGCCGCCAACCGTCTTCCGCACCTTCACCCCGCCCTCGCTGTTCCCCTACAATGGCCTGAACAACATGCCCGTCTATCTCGCCGTGCGCGGCCGCGTCTTCGACGTCACCCCCGGCCGCAACTTTTACGGCCCCGGCGGTCCCTATGCCAACTTTGCCGGCAGGGATGCCTCGCGCGGCCTGGCCTGCGGCAGCTTCGACGAGGAAATGCTGACCAAGGACCTCGACGGCCCGCTGGATACCCTCGAGGGCTTGGATGCCGAGCAGATGGATGCCCTGCGCGGCTGGGAGGAGAGGTTTGAGGAAAAGTATCTTGTCGTGGGCAAGCTGGTGCCCGTGGGCCACCCGGAGGCCGAGGACGCAAAGGCCTAGGAGTTTCACGTCCATGCCAAGCATCCAGAAAGACTGGCGCAGTCTGCACCCGCCCTCGAGGCAAACATCCAAAGTCGCAGGCTGCCAGAAAAAAAACCGCACTATGGCAAGTTGTTGTGGGTAGACGTACTGAATGGGAATCACCACATTATGTGGACTTGTTTCACTACTACCGAGCCTCGGCCCATCGCTGGCACTCCGTAGCAACACCGAGAAATGTGTTGGGAATAGATTTGCTCCACACTCCGACTGGTTGCCGAATGCGGGGTTCGCTCTGATAAGCAACATCCCACCTCTACTATCTCCAAATGACCCGCATGGCGTCGTTAGCGCCTGTACGTCTCGCATCTCGCTCCCTTTTTGTGATGATCCGCTTTTTGCCGTCAATCGACACTGTCATACGTATCAAGTGTACGTCCCATGTACTTGGTATGCGCCATGCCAGACATCTGGTCCTGACCTTCTCTCAACATCACCGTGTGAGAACGTCTTGACAAACCTTGGACTGCTACCATGGATCTCACCATTTTCCAACATGTCTCGCCGCTTTCGTGGTTTCTGCTACTCGCGCTTGGCGCCATGAGTGTCTGGGGTAGGAGATGGGCACGTCAGGATAACAATCGGGTATGTTACTCATACCCGCCACCCTGTACCAGCAGCCCAGTTAATACATACTCAGAAGACACACTCAGTACCAGTCTCAACACCAAAATCAGCATCAAGCACCCCCGCACAAAAGACACCGGCTGAAGCAGACGACCCGGAAGCAGCATACTACGCCATCGAGCCCCTCACAGACTTTGACTATGAGAAAGAAGAGCCCATCCAAATCCGGCCATTCAAGCCAAAATATCACATGACCATGGGTACGTTGGATATGGCACTGTACGAGACAAGTTTCTAACTCAGTATTCTTCTCAGCCCTCGAAAACACAACACTATCGGAGCTCCTCCTCATGGACAACACGTACCTATCACGCTCGCACATCCGCCGCAAGTACATCGAAGACGAGCGAAAAGAAATCATTGCATGCACGCCTCAAGGCGCTCCCGCTGTCATGGAGCTCTACGACTGGCTCATAGGAATCTATCTGCCACGCCGCTTCCCAACCATCTACACCCTGGTCAGCGAAAGCAACACTACCGGAGCGCCTACGCATTTGAAGAACCACGCTACGAATAAACTGCTCACGCTGACGCCCGAGACGCCCGAAATCGCACTTGAAATTATTGGCGAAAACATTGATTCCGAGTTTTTTATATTGGAGAAACCGCTGGACTCTTCTTCCTCTCCTTCACCAGCACAAGACGACGCCCAACCCCAATCTCAATCCCAAGAAGAAAAAGAAACCCAACCCTACCGCCTAACCGCCTTTGTAAACTGCTTCCCAGCGGGCTTCCGCACCCTCTCCAAACTCGGTCTCACCCTCTCTGGCATCCACGGCCCCGTCCCACACTACAGCGAGAAACTCGAAAAGAGCATGGACCGATACTTTGCCGCGCTTCCAGTGGGAAAAGTCGTGAAGCGAGTTAACTGGGGCATTGCCACGACGCCGAATCTGTTCAAGCTGGGAGGCCACCATATGAGTGCTGCAGAGCACGAGAAGAAGAAGAAGGAAGAAGAGGAGGGCAAGAAGGAGGTGAATCCTGCGGATGAAGTCGACATTGAGCAGGTTGTACTCCGGTGCGAGCGACAGACGCTGCATCGCATGCCCAAGTCGGGGTCGTTGGTATTTGCGTTCAAGGTATGCTTTCCCTTTCCTCCTTCTCCCATTCCTCCCTATGTCTTCTTCTCCCTTCCTCACAAACGTGATGTTGCTAACCCTCTCAACACAGACATACATGTACCCTCTCCGCGCCGTCCGCGCCGAAGGCAGCGGCCCCGTGCTAGCCGAAGCCATAGACGGTCTGGGCCGCGGCTCCGTACCCAGAATCACAGTGTACAAGCGACAGGTTGTGTGGGGGGAAAAAGTAAAGGCGTTTTTGAGGGGTGAGATTGCGTAGATGATTATATATATATACGTGTCTGATTCGATGGTTTTGTGGCGTTGCGTTGCGTTGCGTCGTGGATATGGTGGAGAGATGTACATGCATGAATGGATGGATGAATAGGTGAACGACAGTATATTCGTAACAAGAAAGTAGAAATGTCAGCGTTATATGCGATACAGACACGTTACCATCACTCTGATATCGCATGCTGAATCCAAGGCAAGGGAAATCACATTACTTCAATTCCATTCAAGTCAACTCAACTCAACTCAATTCAAGCCAGAACAACTCAACTCAACTCAACTCAAGTTAAGTCAGATCACCTCAGGTCATGAGTACATACATACACACTTCATCTTCTTCTCCCCCCCCCCTCCCTCCCCAATCTCCCCTACAATAATTCAAAGCCTGAAAAATATAACATGACATGTATACGTCCTTTCTATCTATCTATCTGCCTGTCTGTCTATCTATCTGTCTATCTGTCTGTATCTCCTCTACATAGAGCTAGCGTCCACAGCCACAGTGCACACAACCATAACCACAACCACAATCACAAGGGTACTACATACATACATACATACATAGATAAGAAATAGCAACACCAGGGCTCAGAAAGAAAGAAAGAAAGAAAAAAAGAGAGACAAGGCAAGACAAGACAAGGCAAGACAAGACAAGATAAGTTCGCTTGATGAGGGAGAAAAAAAAACAGGGCGTCGTAGTACTCTCTGTCTCTCTTTCTCTTGATATGTACTCTAGGTACCCATCACCTTTCCCTTTCCCTTTCCATCTCCTTTTTGCATTTCCTATTCCATTTCCAATTCCTATACCCAGCACCCATTCTTCTTCTTCTTCCTCTTCCTCTTCCTCTTCCTTTTCCTCTTCTTCCTCCCACTCCGCACATATACCGCCCTGTTCAAGTCATCATCCAAAAAAAAGGCACCCGCCACCCCCCCCCACCTTCGGTATTTCCATTTCCTATTATCCCGCTTCCATATCTATTTCCATTGTTTTTAATCTTGAATTTTGTTCGCCACCATACACTCCCCGTACATACAACAACAATAACAGCAGCAGCAGTAGGATCCAATACCAACGCCCACCACCACCACCACCACGGCGCCCATCTGACCGCCTATCCATTCAGCCGCCCACCAGGTCGGCGTCTACTGCCCCACCCCCCCCCCTCGTGAAATCAGCATTATATTCCCAAAAAGAAGAAGAAGAAGAAGAGAGCATAAACATGCATGGAGGGGGAGGGGGTCTAGACCTCCAGACGCCCCCGCAGGTCGGCTTGCACCACGTTTGGGTCCCAGACATATTTTTTTTCTTCTCTCTCCCCTCGCCCCCCCACCGCTTCTTCGGCGCGTTCCACGCTAACACCAAGGAAGGAATCAAAGAAAGAATGAAAGAATGAAAGAAACAATGAAACAAAAAAATAGTGGTCGCCGAAATGCAAACCAAGAAAAAACCAAGAAAAAAAGCAGCTTGTAACACAATGCAATAGGTATCATACCACTTATCGTCGAATACTGGGTGCGCTGCCTAGTGTACCACGTTTGATTAGGGATGGCTTTACCACGGCGGACTTGGCGGGCGCTGCCTTGGCGGGTGCTGGCGTCTTGCTGGCGAAGAACCTGTGGGCCAGCGCTTCCTTGGGTGAGATGCGCTTCTCCACGTTCATGTGCAAGCTTGCGCTGAGCAGGTCCGCCAAATCATTCAGCTCACTAACTGCTGGCCCGCCGTTCGAGATGTTGCGCGCGGCGTCGTGAATGCGAGTCTTCATGTCACGGGGTATCTTCTTCTGCTGCTCAATCTTGCGTACCGAGAGCTGTGCAACGTTAGCAACGAATTTCAGAGACGACAATGCACTGACCTTGTTGTACTGATCAACCTCGCGGCTGATGAATTTCAGTGGCGGCCCGAGTTCAAAGTTTTCCAGAACATTGTTGGCAAGCCCCTTCTTCAATAGCTTCTCGCTGGGCCATCCCAAACAATCCATAAACGACTTGATCATCTGGTTGTTGGAGCGCCCAGTAAAGAGAATCTTGCCTGTCCATAGCTCATACACCGTACAGCCCACAGCCCACATGTCGACGGGATAGCCAATGTCCATGCCAAGAATAATCTCAGGCGCACGGTAAAATCGACTAACAAGATACTCGGTGCGCTCAATTACATCTCGCTTGTCGACGGCGGTACCGAAATCAGCCAGCTTGACAGTCTTCTTGTCAGCAGAGACCAACACGTTGTCAGGCTTCAGGTCGAGGTGGATAATCTGGCAGTTTTGCAAGTGTTGGAGGCCAAGGAACATCTGACGCGCATATATCCGTACGGCAGGCAGAGTAAGGCCATGTCCATTTGTCTCCTCTTTCAGCAGGTCTCGCAAGTTCTTCGACATGTGTTCAAAGACAATGCATAGATGACCCTTGTGGTCGAACGAGCCCAATAAACGAACAATGTGGCGCTTATCCTGTGGATCTGCCTCGTTGACTTTGCGCAAAAAGTCCATTTCTTTCTGACTCGCCCTCCTCATCAAGTCATTCCGGCGAATCATCTTGATAGCAACAATCCGGGGGTTGGCGTCTCCGTCGGTCTTGACCTCTTCTGCTTGTGCGACATTGGCAAACACACCACGACCAAGGCCCTTGATCACTCGGTAGCGGCCGCCGTCGACCAACTCATTACTAATCAGCTTGTAGTATCCTTCTGGATCGTCCCAGTTATCCAGCAACTTTTCGTCGAGAATTGTTCCTTTTGCAGCGACATTGGCCTCGGTCTCGACATCCTCCTCGTCTTCGTCATCATCGTCAGAGGCAAACATGTCAAACTCTTTCTTCTGTTTCTTAACAGGCACCACCTTCTCAGCCGGTAACGTAGACAGTGCCTGGGGGTCAGTCTCGCGATATGCGTCCGACGAAACCTCGGCGTTGTGGTTCTTCTTTGCTGCTCGATCCCGGTCGTCTAACATGTCCTGCAGAGGATCGTAATCGGCCGCCGACGGACTGGCCGCCGCACCTGGACTGTTTCCCTCACTGAATCCCCCCTGCTTATCGATTACCATGACGTCTGGTGACGCCGGGACGGATTCGAGGTCGCCATTGTGGGGTGATATGAACGGAGATCGAGGACTATCCGCAAACGCTGCTGGCGAAGCATTGTTAGGCGTGTTCGCTTCCGACGCACTAGTGAGAACCGCCTGCTGCAACAGGTTCTCTTTGGCCTTTTGCTGCTCGGCCGCAGCGCGCATGGCAGCCCAGCGGCGCCGCTTCTCCTCGCGCGATTCCTGGGTTGGTTCCTTGTCTTCAACAGGCGCTGGGGTGTAATCAGTGGTATCGCCGTCCATTTTCCTGATCCATTCGTCAGTACTAATTCACATCATTGGCCGATGAAGCATATACTTACATTTCAACATCTTCAGACACGCTTGTGTGTGCAGCCACGGCCTGTGCAGCCGGAGCCTTTGCGCGATCAGGCGGCGGCTGTTGCTTCTGCCCATGCGGCTGGTGTGTCTCCTCGCGTCTTCGATCACTGGGCCGGGGTTGCTGGCGATGATTGTCTCTAGGGAGTCCGCGGAAGTCGGGGACTGGGTTTGGATTCTCGACCTCGGCATACGAGATGGGCTTTGCATGCGATCTATCTACGGCATCTTTACGGTCTCTTGCCGAACTTGGTGGAGGTGGCGCTGCAGGTCGTCGCGGCTCACCGTGTCTGCTACGATCAGTATGGTATCGCTTATCGGGGCGGCCGCGCGGCGGGGAAGCCTTGCGCTTGTAGCCTCGTGCATCACTGGCACTGTGGTCGGCTCGGCTTCGTCGATATGGCGATGGCGATCGGTCGACTGTGCGGTTCTTCCGATATGGCGAAGGCGATCGAGACGGGGTGCGCTTGCGGCGATAAGGCGAGGGAGAGCGACTCAAGGCGCGGTAGTTCTCACAGGCACCATCTAGTCCAAAGGACCTGTTTGAGCCGTTAATCGCAGTTTCGTTGCGCGAATTGACTGTGTTTGCCTTGTGTCGGGTATCGGGGAGCTCGCCCTCGGAAGCAGAGCTCGAGCTCGACATTACGCTGCTTGGCTCCTTGGGACGACTTTTTTTCTCTCGCGTCGCTAATGTTGTCTTCAGAATGGGGGAGTTCTGGGCGTCAGCGGATTTCTTGGGCACGCGAGGACTGAGTGTCTCTATCACTGATTGTGGGAGCAGAGAAGAAGAGACAGGAGCGATTGCGCCAGGCGAGTCAAGGCGGCGGATGCAGATGGGCCGGTGAAGGAGGAACTCGTCGTGGTCTTGTCGCGACTGGCTGCGCGATCCCGTGGGGGAAAGTGCCCATGAAGCCAAGCTTGCGTTATGTAAGCATCACGTGATTGCCGTCTCTCTACGAAGTAGCATTCCTGCTGCACGCCTACATCTATGTCCAAGTCTTGTTCAACGCTTGGCAACCCAGCGTGCGAACTCTGAAATATCCAAAACATGGCAAAATCTACTGTGAACAGCACGATCTGACCGAGCGAGCATTATATCATTTATTTCTACTTACTGATACACCCAGCCGAGTCCAAGTGTGCATATCCGCAACACCATACCATTTACTGCTCCCTAGTAAGTAACCCACTTACTTGTACACAATACGGATGGCCTCGCCCTCCCACTCCAACCAAGGGGGCGGCGACGCGGGCTATTCATAACAACCAAAATCTTGAAATGTGGCCGATGCAAGTTTCTAGTCCTCTTACTGTGCTCACTAGTAAGGGGGTGGGGGGAGGTTGTGGGGATGAGGCAAGACTGAGGGGACAAACGGACGGATGGAAGTGTGTGATGTTGCCCCTCCCCAAGTACACAACGTTATTTTGTTGCGCAGTGTGTAGTCCAAAAAAAAAGGTCCAAGTATGTACTTGGGCAATCATTGACCCTACCCTGGTTGTTGTTTTTTGTGTGAAACACCCCGTGCTCGCGGCATACATTCCCCCCTCTTCCCTTTCCCCTTCCCCTTGTACCTCGGTCGTTCTTAGTTGGTCATCATTTGATTTTATGTGATGTGATTTGAGTTGATTTGTTTCCCTTTCTCCGGCACCGTCATGATGATGATGATGATCGCGTCTTACGGTGTACAGACACTACATAGCGTGGTATCCATGCTTTCGTATCAAGTGGGGACGCCCCCCCCCAAACCAAACGTTGCAGCACGCGAGTGCGAGTGCGAGCAATCAACACGAACACGAACAACAAACGTGCAGCAGCAGCGTGTGGAGGCAAACCATGTTGTGGCCATGTGGGGACGAGCCCGCCTCGGCAAAGCAGGGAAGTATTCCAATTTCGTACAAAACGGGTGATTTTATTTTATTTAGTTGCAAAACACACTCACATAGGCGCGGGGCTTTCTAACAACACAGCCCCCCTCCCCAGCCCTAGTACACCGACATACACATCTATGCACAGCTATTTGCCAGGCAGAAAAAAAAACGATGCGGGCGAACTCGGGCAGACGCTCCCAAATTTTGTTTTTTGAGTACCAGGGTACTCGGGCCGTAACCTGGACTAAAGAAAAAAGTAGCCAAAAAAAGTATAACGAGATAAAGGCAAAAACCTTGTGATTCAAGCATGGCAGGTGAAGCTGTTTCGGGGCCTTGTTCTACGGTGACGATCGCTGTAAAAAAAAGCAAAGAGAGAGAGAGAGAAAGAGAGAGGGCTCGCCACCCCAGCATGCGCAGCACTTCGGCCCTGCAACATGTGGTTGAGTCAGGCGGCGGGCATGACAAAGCGGTAAATGACACATGGTTACAATAAGCAATTCGGACGACTGAGAGCCGGGCATGTCACTCAGCCAAAGCGATTGGGACAAAGGGGGGTGTGGTTGCTGCATGAATGTTTGGGGCGGTGTTTTTTTTTGTTCAGTCGTCCGAGGTCTTCCCCCTCCTCGCCGCCACCCCTGTGACGCGCCTTTTCCCGTATCCGAATACGTTGGGTTAGCTGGGTAGGGTACCCGCACTCCGTCACCGTAGTCGGCGATCATCCGCCTTTGAGATTCGCGAGCCGATCCATGTTACAGTAGCATAGCATACCTACATGGCAAAGAATACGGCGAACCCGGGGGGACGAGGTCCAAGAAAGTAGTGGAAGTGGGTAAAAAAGCTTCGCCCTGGGGCTGTGTGTGTGTGTGTGGGTGTGTGGGGGAACAATGGGCGTGTCGTGGGCTAGAACCACTTTTATTTTTTCTTTTCTTTCTTGGGGAGAAAGCCAAGTGCACGACACGCCAACCGGTTAAAGCGAGGTTGCTGATACGGGAAACCAACGGTAGACGCAACGCATAGTCGAGCAAAGGCACGAGAATGGCTGGAAGAGAGTGATCCGAAGCAACAATTGCTTGTCTCTCTTCTTGCTTGGGTGCATTCACATGCTTGTATCGAAAGCTTAGATTATGGAGCCCGCGGCGGAAGTCGGTGAGACTTGCGAGGTGGAAGAGATGGGCCGAAGCAAAGCCCCCCCTCCCCCTCGCAATTCCCCCAGTCTCTTTCCCCTCGGCGAGTGCGACGATGCGTGCTACAGATTTGGCAGTTATGGGAGACAGGGTAGGAGTAAGACGAAGAGAGAAAGTGGACACAGCCGTGGAAGCGATGCGCTAGAAGGCTGAGGTCCTTGGGCGGGCGGTGGCTTGCGGCGAACGATTGTGGCCATGTGCGTCAAAGTAGAAGCAGTGGACAGCTAGACATGGAGGAGGGTAGCTGGTAGTGTGGGTGTAGTGTAGTGTAGTGTAGTGCGGGTAAGTGTAGGAGGATTACTGGAAGCCATGGATTGGGGCTAGCGGAAGGGAGCACATCCGATGGCGTCGCTTCTGGAATCTGGCTGAGCGTCCAAGGTAAGCCGGGCAATTGGTGCGCGTGGTGGGCGGTGGTGAGCTGATTGTGAAACGGTGGATGGCATGCGGCGGCGAGGGACCCTGATGGACGCATAGTGCATGGTGTAGCCGTAGCCGTGAATGTACACCTAGTAGTGGTAGTGGTGGTAGTAGTAGTAGTAGTAGTAGTAGTAGTAGTAGCTACTTACACCACGCCACACAGGATAGTCGATGCTACTACACGCCGGGTGCCAGAGTGTCGGGAAGAATGCGAACAAGCCGACAGTGAGGCATGCCCCACCACCGACAAAGGCCTGGACGCCGTCCCACATTGCATGTGTGTGTATGCTGTATGCACACCGCACGTTGGTCTTACGCGCCCATCCAGCGAGTATTTTTTCCCCTCGCACGCATCCACGCATCCACGCATCTCAGCCCCACCGCAGCTTACGTCACGCGCCCGGTCAAAGCCGGCCACGCTGCCTCCCCCCCCCGGCGATAGCATGGCGCAGTTACAGTAGACGCGGAGACGTGGTAGTGTGTGTGTAGCTGCGACGAGTTCAAGGTGCGAGTGCGAGCACGAGTGCGACCAAGTGCTGGAGCTGGCTGGCCCGAGTATTGATTGGCTGGCGGCTGCGCGACTGGATGGTGTATAGTAATCATGTACTGTAAAGAGTACGTCATTCGCCCTCTGCTAACTCCCCGGAGATGCACCACGCTGCTATCGAGACTGAAGGGACGAGAAGTGAGCACAAGCAAAAAAGATTGGGAGCGGCTGCAAGTTGCGCCGTCGGGCCATGGCAGTAGTCGCGGCTAGTGCAGCCATGCAGCGTCGAGAACAGAGAGGGTCGAGAAAGAGGGAGAGACATGTCAACATGGCTAGGCCCTGCATAAGCACTGTCGACATGGTGTAGATGGGTAGATACATGGCAATAAGGTTCCTGAGGGCATGGGAGAGAGTCGACGATACGAGCGAGGCGTCGCATGGGGAAAGGCGGGCGCCGACTGAGTCTCTAGCCTCGACATCGCCAATCTGCCCGAGCATACTGCCCCCCAGCCGGCGACAGCTCCGTTCCAGGAAGTGCCTGGCTCCGCGCTCACGGGCTGACACACGGCGACGACGAGCATGACAAGAGTTTCACTGCCAGTGTACACCAGTGTCTCGCTGCCCCGCCCTGCCCTGCCCTGCTGTGCGGTGCTGTGTGTGCTGTGCTGTGCTGCACATACATGTACGGCCAAATGCTCGGTGGCCCAACCTTGGGTTCGCGTCTGGCAACGGGAAGCGCAGCAGAAGATGGTTAGAGCAATGTGCCCAAGGAAGCCTTGTCGAAGACGAGCCCGTACGCCATACATAGAGTTTTAGGGGTAGTACTGCCCAATCCGGCTAGCGCGCATACCCTCGCCATTCACACACCCGCACCCGCACCCACACCCACACACACCCTCGACAGCAACAGTAACCGGCCCCCCATCCAACTGCTTTGGGCGCATGCACCGCAGTCGGTCGTGCAAACGGCGCCCTGTCAATTGGCCGAAGCGACTCGATCGGTAATTATCCAGTAGCCACACACAGCCTCTGGTAACCCCAGCATCTGGCCAAGAACGATCTTCGCCGCCGTTTTTCTCACGCTGCTTGCCAAGGATATATCTAGGGTAGGATAGACGGAGGGGGGCGAGGGGACGGGGGGGCAGGGGACGGGGGACGGGGGACGGGGGGAAGAGGGGGGGAATGCGGAGGTTTTTGATGCAGTCTCGATGGAAGATGAACAGAAAAAGGTACCAAGGCGCACGCTCTCGACCGTCTTGCGGTAGCCCGGGCATGGCACGGCATGGCACGGCATGGCATGGCATGGCCCAGTCCAGTGGCGGGCTTGCGAGATAGAGACACAGCGAGAGAGAGAGAGAAAGAGAGACACTGAGAGACTGAGAGACCAGAGGCCTACTACTTAATGCACGGGAGGGAGCCCATGTTCCTGCAACACTGGCTACAAAGGCTCGGCCGCCCAAGGCGTCTTGTCTGCCAGGCTTGGTATAACGCCGGCCTCTTGCAGCCGAGCACAGCCATGGGATTGGTGGTGGACAAACTCAAAATCTACGTCATGCGCTACTGCACCTGGATGCTCCCACTCCCACTGGCACACATGGTTAGTTACCGCAGTGGCTGCTCGAGGCAGAGGGTGGAATCGCGCTTCAGTGAGGCGGCGTCGCCAGTGCCAGCAAGCTCTGCTGGGCTATCGGGCCGAATGCATATTACCGTGTCTGGCACCCATCCCCAGAGGGTACGGGGCGGGTGGGCGAGCACGAGAGAGGGCGAGGGCAAAAAGAGGCAAAAAGAGCGTCGTGGGCGTGTGGTCCGCCGTGCATGCAGCAGGGCAGCGAGGGCGTCGAACCTTTGTCCAGAAGCCGCATTCAGACGATCTGCCGCCCGTCGCTGCGCCAAGGGTGAAATGCAACGTGACGATCGCCGGGCGCGCTGGCCCAATTGCTCCTAGCTGCTACACCCAAGAAAAGGGTCCGATTTCCCACAACAGCCTTGATCGTGCGCATGGCGCGCCCCAGCCTGATCGCCCCAAAGGCCATGCCAGGCCATGCCATGCCACGCCACGCCATGCTCTGCCATGAGCCACGCCCAAAAAATAATAAGAACAATCATACATACTTGGATACACGCATACATACTACATACATACATACATATATACATACATACTACATACAGACATACAGGCATACATACATACATACATACATACATACATACATGTACTGTACGTGTGCTGTATGGACCTCGACGTCCAACGCCCACACACCACCACCACCACCACCACCACCACCTGCCGCACGTGGCCGCCCCTCTGCTGCTCGCCGTCGTCGCCCGTCGTCGCCGTCGAGCTCGTCGTCTTCCTCCGCCTCCGCCTCCGCAAGCTGGGGGCAGTATCTGTGAAGAGCGGCGCCTCTAGCCTAGCCGGCCTCTGCAGTCGCCTAACCCGATTCCCCACGGTCGTTTAACTGTGTGGTGCGCTAGACCACTAGGTCCAACTGCATCCGCAGCCTGGTGTTTAGGTGGCCGACGCCTTTGAAACTTCGTTCCAGCTGTATGTCCTTGTCAGCAGTTCCGCATAGGAGTTTGCCGGCCACTAAAGGAACCACAGCCCCCCCCCTCCCCACCCCCCCCAGCACACGATATACAGACTTAATGCCCGATGTGCATTGCGGATCTTTCCACATGAACACCGTACAAACCTTTCTTCTCCACCACCCTACTCCGACATAGCTCCTTCTGCTCAAAGCCTCCACACACACACACGCACCGAGACATGCTCGCATTCATGCCTGCACAACCCTCGACTTCTTCTCCGGGTACGTCGGCAATCTCACGCCCTCGTCATGGCCGGCCAGGCTAACGTGCCGCTGCAGGAATAAGTTACTGGTATGGCAGCGCCAGTCTGCCAGACGCCCTAGAAGCCCTTCCACACGCCGCCTCCAATCCACGTCTGATGCGCCGGTCCTCGGATGCTGCTGCACAGGCGAGTGGCATTCAAATGTGAGTATATTCACCCGTCTTTTTTTTTCGTTGCATGATCCCGAGGTCCCCACCGGCATGTATGCGGCAGAAGGCAGCCCATTGCTCTGCTTCGGACCGGTCTCCCACACCCCGACCGCCTCGTCTGCCATACCTGGACCTCTCAACACTGGGCCTGCCCACGGCCACAGCGACGGCTACACCAACACCAACACTCGGTCCAGAGGTTTGCATGCCCATCGCTCGACACCAGCCGTCACAGCCAAAAGCAGGAAGCCCGCCCGTCCGCCCGCCCGCCCAAGGAACCGTCACGATCCGGACATGCCAAGTCGTGTGCGGGAATCGCGAAGCACTGTTTGAACGATCTTGCTTGGTTTTGGGAAAGGATCTGCGGTGCATCTTACGTCCTCGCGTCGTTGGCTGTCTCCGGCAACTCACTTGAGACGGAAGGAAAAAAAAAGCCACCTCGATTGCAAAAGGGCCCAGATTACCGCAAAGGCGAATTTGATAAACCCGCCGCTTTCGTGGTCAGCATGACACGTCCATGTCTCCATTTCCAAGGATATCCATCGGCAATCGTTTCGGGATACGAGATCTGGGCAGCGTGCGCGGGGTCCAAAGCACCCTCTCCAGACACGCCTATCGACTCCAGACTTGACCAGACCAAAGCGCCCGGCGGAATGCGCGCTGCGACCAGACCTCAGAGGCACATATTGCTGCATCTTTTGCCAGACAGAACACGAGTTTGCTGACGAGTCATTAGCCAAGAGTCGTCGGAATGGGACGACAGCCACATCCCACTTCACCTCGACAACGCCCAAACCAATCTTGTGATTCGCCCGCCGGTCGCCTCGCCCGCCGCCAATCATAAGGCTCCGCTGGCGCCCAAGCAGGGCCTTGGCGGCGCCCTTGCCAATGCTCGCGGACAGCATCAATCGCCCATTGCCGGCACATATGCCCTGCGCACCCCTCGCGGCAAGATTACCTCGATAGCATGCGAGAGCTGCAGGAAGCGAAAGTCCAAGGTTGGTCTTCCCCCCCCCTCCCCTCCCCCCACCTCCTCGTCGTGTCCGAATCAAAGCTGACCAGAGCTCCCCCCTTGCTCCCCATCCAGTGCGACGGCGTGAGACCAAAATGCAACACCTGCCAGTCCAAGAACCTCACGTGTGTGTACGACGTGGCCGAGGATGGCAAGACAACGACCCAGCTGCGCGCCCACGTGCGCCGCCTGGCCAAGGAGCTCGAGGACATCAAGTCGGTCATTTCGCTGCTCGCCATGGCTCCCAACCGCGCCTCGGCCGCCACCTGGGCCGCCGAGATTGAGAAGAACGGCTTTGCCCACCATTCGGCCGACGACATCAAGAAGGCCCTGTCGAGTGGCTCCGCCCGAGACTCGCATGAGCCGCGTCTGGCAAGCAGCCACGACTCGCTGGGACAGGCGTCCAGTCTTGCCGAGGGCGACTCGTATGGAACTCCGGGCAGCGAGGCCTTTGCTGGCACCGCCCACCACATGGGCACTTCGTCGTACGGCGAATCCTCTCGGGACGAAAGGTACTTTTGAATCGCCCTGGCCGCACTCCCATCCAAGACACTGACATGCATTCCAAGTCGAGAACAGAGCCATTCTTCGCTGGCCTTTTCGCACGATGCCCCCCAAGTTGACCCCGCCGTATCCATGAACCCATCCCCACTGAACATGGACATGACTGCCGCCGCCGACCCGCTGAGCAAGTTTGGCTTTGACTGCGCCTTTTACCGGAGGACCAAGCGAGACCTGCTTGCCAATGGATGGAGCGAATCACAAATCTTTGGCAGATCCGAGATTGATGTCGACACGCTTTTGCTGGGCTTCATGGATCCCCAGGATGCGCAGCCAGTCTCGACGTGGTGTGCCAAGACCTGCAACAGGGTGCTGCCCACAGCCTCTTTTCCCATCAGGCTTGCCTCTACGTGGGTTTTGACAAAGATGGTGCGGGTAGGTGCTGCGCTTTCGGTGCCCGCATACGGTGACTAACCACAGCCGCTAGTATCTCATTTGGCCCACTGCCGAAAACCTGAATGCCGGCCCGGATTGGTTGATGCCGCCAGTAGCAAGGCAGGAGACGTCGCCCTACGACCTGTTCATCGACATGATTCCATGGTATGTTTCCATGCTCTTTCCTCGTCATGGCCATTTTCCCAGACTAACGTCCTATCAGGCCTCAGGTGCGACAGTTCCTTTACCAGTACCCCCAGAAATACTCGGTCACCAGCTTCGTCGGCTTGATCGGCATCACGTGGCCGCACGCAGACGACGCGTGCCACTACTGGGACATTGAGTCGGGATACACTCGAATAACTCCTCTCTTTGAAAGCACAATCGCCGACTTGAACAACTGGACCATGGATCCCAAGATTCTTGAAGTCATGCCTCAGCTCGAAGGCCACATTCCACTCAGGCCCGTCTCGTAGGCATGCCGCAGTCGTTTTGGTCCGTTTGCGTTGCGTTTCCCGGCGTTTGGCTCCAAGACGGAAGTGGCGCAACCAAGTCTGGTTGTCTTGACGTCCCCATGTACCAGCGCCTGTTGTATATCATTAACTGTCTGCATTCGTTAGTCATTCCGCTGCATTGCTGGCTACGAAAATCAGTCGCACTGAGGAGCCTGTGGATTTGCATATTGTCAAGGCGTTTGGGAGCAGAGAGGGTTCTTTCTAATGTTTTCTCGGGGTTCAGTGGTAGACAGGAATCAAATGACAGAATTGCCAACATACCTGGGAGCCAAGTGCATACATGCATGCAAAAGCTACGCTGCAAGGCATGTCAGCCCTTGGACACTGCATGGCAGCAACAGCGGCAGGCCCTCTCTATAACAACGGCACGCTTCCGATCCTGCGGGCTCGTCTCTAGCGCAAGGCTCCACCTGAGGCCATTAGATGCTGGCCGCCCTTTGGTATCCACTTCGGTATGTGTGATGCCAAGACCACACCGGAAGAGGCCTCCCGACGCGCCGATCGGAGAAGATCGTCTGATTGTGCAAACCAACCATCCCGCCGCCATGTTAATCAACAGCCGGCTCCAGCGTCCAAACACTCTGTGCTGTCATTCCTTCCTTCTGTCTTTCCTTCTCGCGGCTACGGGTGTGACTGAATATGCATCGCCCGCAAGTCCTGCATGTGGCTTTAAGGGCTTGCAGCGCTGCTAGCAACCACGGCCATGAAGCTAATTCAAACAAGCTGCTGGGCATGGATCGACCGCCCTGCCCTGGCGCCGGGCTCGACGCTTCCTTTCCGGGTAATTCACATCAAGGACCAGCCGTGGGCATGGCGAGTTTTATGGGCGTTGCTCCCCACGCGCAGAGCCGACCCACTACCATCGATCCACTTTCCCTTGGTAGCGCCTGTGTAGTGTAAGACATTGGGGGGCATGCACCTATCCGACATGGTATATTTTCGGAAGCGGCAATGTCGGATTGGGGGGGGGGAGGGGGGCACAGTCTGGGAATAATGGCCCTGTTTCGAGACGACCGGTATCCGCGGAAAGGACCTGGGGGGGTGGGCAGCCATGGCCAGGCAAACGCGTCCTGCCGCTTTCGTCTCGAGACGTCCATGGGCATTTCCCTACTCTGAGCTAGCTTCGGAGCTATTCGAGGCACGATCCGACATGCACTGCTGGCCAGTCGAGCAGCAACTAGCCTGCATTGTTGGAAAAAAAAAGGTGGAATGGTTTGTATATCGACGGAAGGTAAGGCGAAGTTGGGTGTGTTAATCTTGCATCTAGCGTAACAATCTGCCTGGAAGAAAAGAAAAGAAAGAGAAGCAAGAAAAAAAAGCCCGTCCTTGCGCAGCGGTTTTGGACGGGCAGGGTTCATATGTAAAAAATGGTCTTGACCCCCAGGCGTAGGGCCAAATACGAGTGTTTTCTTACCAAGACGGCCATTTAACAGGCAGCCCAAGAACACCGAGTACCAATCAACACGCAACGCATCCGCTTCCGAGGCGTCAGCCAGAGAAGAAACTGTTCCTGTTTGTAGGTCACAGTGCATGACCGGGTGCCTGACATGGGCATGCCACGGCATCTGGATCGAATCGAGCATCTCGGGTGTTTTGGCCGATTGGTTTCGTTCGCCATCGGTTGCATAGCACCAACTTCGGTCATGCTTATGCTTATGCGCGAACCTCAAATCGCATTTTGCGACGCACATCCTACGGGCCCCAGGCTGCACGTCATGCCTCGGGCCTCGCTCCATTATTAGGCTGTGGGTATGCCCACTTATGTTCCGCATTTCGACGTGCGGGTCCCCTTCCCCCCCTACCTACGCTACGCTACATGGCATCGTGTTTCATTTGCCAGACTTCCAGCCGCCATTTCGCATCAGTCATCAGCCATTATCAAAATCTTTCCCTCCGTCTTCCGAACCATGTACCAGGGCATGCGCAAAAAATAGAAATAGTATTAGAGAAGCTTGGAAAATGGCCTACTCGATCTTCTGGGCAAAAACCCACCAGCAATCCTTTGAGGATTTCGGTGACGCTTCGCTGAAGTCCGCGGATCCTATCAGTGTAGCACAGCCCGTGCGCATGTATGTAATGTTATGCTACGACTTGTCGCTTCAGATCCTGAAAAAAGCATGGCCATCAAAACTGGTATATTGTACAAGAACGAACCGGCTCCTCACCAGCGTTACTCATTCTCACGCCTGGAATGAAGGCCATGTAAGTTGAGAGCAACATATGGAAATGCCTGTTACATACTAAGCGCAAAACAAGCTAGTACTGGTACATTTACGAGTACCTGTCCTTCCTCGACGCGAGACCAAACAAGCCTCTCATTGTTTTGAATACCGTACAAAGCATGGGGAATCCGCCCTCGGGTATCATAAAGCGACTGTCGCTGGATCTGGTAAATGGTACAAAAGGGGTATCGTAAGGGGGGTTTTACAAAGGAAATTTATCCCTGGTGACGACAGACTGAAATAGGCTGCATACGCCATGACAATCAAAACAGATTGTCCACGGACACTGCTCGCCCATCAACTCCCGCGCCGACCAGGTGTCCACAGGGTCTCCAGGTGGCGGCAAGCCCGTCGTGAGTGTTATCTGCAGCCCTACAGCCAGCCACAGCCTCCATCTCGGTCATCCATGCATTCTGCCTCACCACCCATCTTTGCGGCCTCAATTCATAGGTAATGTTGCTACCCACGTGGCCGACGTAGGACCCAAACACCTTGTTCACACAGACCTCGCCCTCCGGGTCGATCACGCGGACCGCCATGCCGGGCTCCTTTCTCGCGGCCAGAATGCGGGATTGTGCCGCGAGACGCGATCTCATTGGGCCCAGGATGGCATCGGGCGTCGAAGGGCTGAACACGGGCGAGTCGACGACCGAATCGACGCGGGCCGTTGACATGCCGGTGCAGATGGACGCCCCGTCTCCGTGAGACGAGCCGGAGATGAGCTCTTCGGATAGTTTGACCATGTCCGACTGGAGCAGTGCTGAACTGAGCGGCCGGCACAGCGACTGAATGGTGCCCTGGGGATCGTGCGGTATGCGGATGGAGCTGAGCAGTGGGAAGCCGTTGTTCCTGATGCTGGCCGCGAGGATGTACGTGCCCACGCAGCAGCTCAGTTCCAAGTTTTCCGAAGCCGGAGCCTGGGATTCCGGATATTCTCCAGACGACAGAAACGTCAACGCGGGGAGTGGACTGTCTTCGGACCGGAGCTCCCAGTGGAGGTAGCGGAGCGATGGCGAATGAAAGGTAGGTGTCAGATGGTTTCCGGGGAGTGTGGGTGCTTTGTCCTGGACCAAAGAGAACTCTTCTAGGCCTGCTAGATGGGCGGAGAAAATATCGGCGAGTGTGAGTACACTCCGGATTTCCAGGTTGATGAGCGAGAGTTTTTGAAGCGCGACTGCCTGCGGCGAAGTCACAAAGCGACTGATGCCCTTCTCCGTGACGCCCGGGAGGTTCTCGAGACGGAGGCTGCGCAGGTTTGCGGGCAGGGCGTTCAGAACAAGATTAGTAAACGAACTCGCCGGGAGTCCGCTGATGGACAGATGGGACAGCTGCGGGAAGCTGCGCAGGGTGCCGACAATGGCTCGAAAGTTGAGGTGGGACAAGTTGTTTCCTGCTCCCTGGTGCAGGACCAGCGTCGACAACATGGGGTGGTTTGAATTCAGGCTCAGGAAGTGCTCCGTGGGATCGCATTCGGCAATGTACAGGCCCCGCATCTCATGCTCGTCCTCGTCGTTGACGTCGTGGTCGGCATCGCCCAGCATCCACGCCCGCTCCCGCAGATTCGGCCGTGTCGACAGCGCATGCGAGAGACGATCAAACGCCGCTGAAAACGGCACGTGGAAACCAACAAGGCGCTCCAGACGCGGACACGCCATGACCAGCGAGGCCACGAGATTCACAATCTCCTCCTGCTCAATCGTCGCGTCGTGGTACAGCGTCTGGAAGTCGGATACATGCAGCTCCTTGACCATGTCCGCCAGCATGCTGTTCTCGCGGAGCGTCCGTCGAAGCAGCTTCAGGCGGCTGGTTCCGTTGATTTTCAGCCGCGGATACGCTGCTGCTCGCTCGGACGTGTTGGCCAGCACCAGCACCTTGCGGTACAGGACTGCGGTTGCGGCCTCGCCCCACGCACGGCTGGCCAGCGACAGACTGTGCAGGTTGTCGAGATAGCATGACGCACACGCTTGGTCCTGGTCCAGGTGAAGCTGTTCCAGCTGTGCAACAATACAATCAAAGACTTCTCTCGGCGTCTTTTTGTATACGTGCGTGGGCAGCTTGCGCCCCTCGTACAGTCGAGTCCATGGCACAACGCTCCTCCCACAATCGGATTCCCACCTTGCGTCGACGCCGTGTGGATATGCTCTCCGGTCACGGTCGTACAGCGTTTCTGTCGTATGGAATGCGGTTAGGGTTCTGGTGCTGCTGCTCGTCGACGGCTTGGGTGTCCGTGTGACGACCCGTGGAACTGACACCGAGCGTAGTCTACCCGACGCAAGTCTCTTCAGGCCTCCAATGGTGCGTGGCCGCGACGATTCAAATCTGGGGGAGGTGATGTCAGTGGTTTTTGTTCGAGAAATTGTAACAACCACCACTACTACCACAATTCACCATCACCAAGCCTGATGGCTAATGCGCCACCGAATGCGCCACCGGAGTTTTTTTTTCATCCCATTTCACCATACCACCTTTTTTTCTTCTCCTTTTTTCCCCCTGTGATTCGAAAATCCAGTACCTCCCCTATTATTGCACGACTTACATGTCTTCGGACTCTCGCTCTGGTTTGTCCTTGCGAGATTTGGATAGCCGGAACATTATGCCGTTTCCTCGTTGCTTGCTTGCTTGGGGTAGTGGTAATTGCACGTCAATGCAAAGAAAAACAAATCAAACAAAGAAACAAAAATAAATAAATAAAAAGGGCAGTCGTCGAATGAGGGGGGGCGTATAATAGCTCAGTGGCTATGGATGGTCCTGAGGCGACGGCATGGGGGGAAGAGAGAGCAGGATCCGGGATGTCCGCGCAAGAGATGGCGCGAAACATGGCTATGTTCCGGGGGTCCTGCCTCACCGGCGCTCATATATTCACCAGGCACACACACACACACAGACAGACAAACCAGGCACACACAGGCACACTTCTAAAACGCCCCACGAAGGACTTTGTTCAGCACGGCCCTCTTACTTTCTGGAACCTGCAGGCATAATGCCGTCAACCGCCAAACAAGACGACGCGAGCACGAGTCATCGTGCGTGGGCGTGGCTAGCGAACTAACTACCACTACCCGTCCTAGGGGGACGAACCGTGACGCCGGCCCCAAGAAAATGGACGAGGCGTAACGCCGCCAGTCGCCCTACCTTTTACCGGGACCTGGCCAATGGTCCGCATGAGCAACCATCCGTACGTTTAAAAACTGACGAGTCATGGGCTTTCGATCCCCTTTGAACGCGTTTCTTCCTTGCCTTCCATTTGGCCGAAGTCCAAGTCCAAGTGTGTTTGTCTGGCTCGCCCTTGAAGGGGGGCTGGCGGCGTATTTGTGTGTGTGCAAAAGCCCATTCCATCCAGATACATTACAGTACGTATAAGCTGAGGGGGGCATCCATCATACATAAGCATCACACATCACACATCATACTTTATTCCCTTTTCCCTTTTTTTTCCCTTTTTCCTTCGCCGGCACACGGCGGGACGCGGGCAATCCCGAAAAGAAAAAGGACCGTCACCGCCGCCGCCGTCATCTCCCCCCCCAACTAACCAGAAAATCCCCCCCCCTTCCTTCCCCCGGATGCAGAAGAAGCTTTTTATTTTATTTTATCGGTCCCAGAGTAGCGGGGTCCTTTCTGATCTTCATCTTGTTCGTATTCTTGTTGGGATGTTGTTTTGGTTTCCTTCATTTTTTTCTTCATAGGGGGGAGAGGGTAGGGGAGGAAGAGGCTTCAGTTGGTATACTGACTTACTTTACTTACCTAAACTTTGGTGTGTGTGTGTGTGCCCTGTGTGTGTTAACACACACACACACGCACGCACGCACCTCTAAACCCCAATTAAGTAGTGGGTGGTAGGTAGGTGGGGCATAAAAGACAAGATATGTCCGAGCGCCTGCGATTGGCGAGAAGAAGGGGGTGTGCAGGGAGGGGGGGGTGGACCCGAGGAATTGGGGATTTGCACAAAAAAAAAGAGAGAGGCCCAAGACACATATACACGAAGAGAGACAGATAGACAGAACGGATTATGGATCGCCATCCAGGGGGGGGGGAGGGGTGGTTCATGTCGGGTCGGAAATGGTCTTGACCCTTTGACGGTTCCCCCCCCCTCCCCCACTCCCCTTCAGCCTCAGCTCGCCACTTTGGGGCGGAGAATGCGCTTTCCAAACGACCATGAGCAAGATTCTGACTTGGATTTTGGGCGTATCCCTGTGCCTGTACCTATATCCCTGTGCCAAAGAAGAAAAAAACACACACACAAGCCGGGTGAGGGTGTGAGAGGGAAAAGCGAAAAAAAGCCCCCTGCTACTTCCACCTACACTTTTTTCCAAACGACGACACATGCCGCACGTTTACCCGGTTCCTGCAACACAAGGGGTTTGCGGTCCCCCTCTTCATTCTCTCTCTCTCTCTCTCTCTCTCTTTTTTTTTTCTCGGGCCCCGGATGCAAGTCATGTTTGGAGAGACGGACTGGCAGGTAAGCTTTGCAACCCACTTTTTTTCTGTTTGACAAATCGCCGCACAGATGACGGGAAAAAACCAAACAGGAAGGTAACCTAGTATTATTCTGGCTCACCCCTCGGTTCATGTTGGATGTGGTTTTTTGCGAATGAGGCGGCGGCGGCGGCAGGCGAGCGGGCGGGCGAGAGGCGGGCGAGCGAGCGAGTCCAGCTCCAGTCCCAAGCGCCTTTCCCGCTCCCGATGGATGGATGGATGGCAATGTGTGTGTGTGTGTATGTGTGCAATGTGATGTAGCATTTGGAGGGGGGTAGTATGGTATGGTATGGTGGTATAATGGGCATCATGATGTGTAACAACACCATGAACAACGGATGATAAGAAAGAAAGAACGATAAAAAAAAGGGGGGGATGGGGGATGCAATGCAATGCAATGCAAATATTTCGAAACGCGATTTAAGTGCGGCGGGTATGTATGTATACAGCCTTTTTCATCCAAGGATTACAAGAACGAAAGGAAGAAAGGAAGGAAGAAAAAGAGAGAAAGAGAGAAAGAGAGAGGAGGGGGTAAGTTGGTATCTTTGTGTGTTTTCCCTACGTAGGTAAAAATTTTCCGTCAAATATTACAAGTACAAAAGCCCAAGTACGTACGTATTGGGGTGTTTTTTTTTTGCGTCTAGGATAGATGGAAAGTCTGGAATTCCTCCTCCTCTTCTTCTTCTTTTTTTCTTATCTTTTTTTCGGCATAAAATCGAGGTAAAAGCAGTGGTGAAATAAGCCTGTGTATGTGTGTATTATAGATGCACGCAGAAAAAAAAAGAGCTGGGCATCCGGTGAAGAAAGGTGCAGTCTGACTTGACCGACTGAGTGGGTGAGTGAGCGGAAGTAAGAATGGTGAAACCTTTCGAGTAAGAAAAAAAAATCGAAAATAAAATAACCCCAAAACCGGGGATTCGGGGGGACTAGGGTATGGGGGGGGGAAGTGTATAATGTAATGTATCCCAACTTACACTTATACTTGTACTGTACATACACATATGTATACATAAACATATATCACACAAAACAATTAACAAATATAGGCCTGGGTTTTCACCCTTCTCTTCATCTCTCCATCTCTCTCTCAAACACACACACACACACACACACACCACCCAAGTCGCAACATCTGAAACGCGGCTACAGCGCCGTTTAGCTACATAAGTAAGCAAAAAAAAAATTAAAATGGCGTGCCGCATACTTGCACTTGCGTTGCATCTTCCCCCTTCTTCTTCTTCCCTGGACCTGGTCTGACAGCGGGTTGCAAGGAAGGGGGTGCGGGCTCCTGGTCGGCGGTTTTATGTACGGCCTTGTTGTGGTGCGTGGTGACGGGGGCGGGGGGTGGCGCCCCCACATGTGTGTATGTGTGTGTGTCTGGGGGGAGCGAGAGAAGGAGAGAGAGGGAATGGTGGAAACAAGGCTGTGTGGAGGGAGAGGAAAGTGGAGGAGTGTGCAACACCCACACACGTACCACATACATGCGCAACTAAGTATTAAGGGGTACTATAACGATAAATATCCCTCTCTCTCTCTCTCTGTGTGTGTGTGTGTTTCCGATACCTCCCCCAAGCCACAGTGTGGCATCTGCAAGTCACCCCCCTCACCCCTCAACCCCCCCCCTCCCCACCTAAGCCTCC